TCACCTGCTTACAGCCCAACAAGTCCAGCATACTCGCCCACTTCGCCTGCGTACAGTCCCACAAGTCCGGCATACTCGCCCACTTCGCCCGCTTATAGCCCAACCAGTCCGGCCTATTCGCCAACTTCGCCTGCATACAGCCCCACCAGTCCAGCTTATTCGCCGACTTCCCCTGCATACAGTCCAACCAGTCCAGCGTACTCGCCTACATCCCCTGCATACAGTCCAACAAGTCCAGCGTATTCGCCAACTTCGCCTGCATACAGTCCCACCAGTCCCGCTTACAGCCCAACAAGCGAAAATTAAATGGATTGAACTTTTTGAAATCGTATTTGGGACTCGTCGTAGCCCCTGCAGAAAGATAATCACAGTGAATAGGTCGCTTTTAATCTCTTACATAATGCTTATAGAGTAGTAGTCATGCGCGCTGAGAGCTGATCCATTTTCTACACAAATTAGTGATTCCAGCTAATGCTACTGGTTTGTTTTCATTTCTCATTTCAGAAAATATCTGCTTAGTAAGGATGCCAAACCCACGTACTCATACAGATTTCGATTGAATCGATGCCTGCCTAAGTTTTCTTTGTTTGGGCAATTCGTCAGTGGGAGTGTCTTGGGATTCGAACAAATCAATTCTATTCAAGAGAGGAAAGTCCCCCGCTCCCACCACAGGGCTAGCTGTGTTATTTCTATTTGGAAGACAGTAATCGAGGTCTTTTTCATCAACACCAAACCACTGTATTATACCATGCCAAACGGAATCCCAGCTAGTTGTTGGGATGAACCGCACTCTTGCGTTTGATCCCGCATTCAGAGGACTTTCCTTTGTGATGTCGTCCGGATATTTCCCGACGACTCGACCGCCCCTGACATTGCCACCGAGCATCCAATAATTTCCGCCCCATGCATGATCCGAGCCTTTGTTCTATGGGTGCGCCATTTATAAAAAAGTGAGTCAATCAAACATGATGAAGAAAAATTGAGTTCAAAGACCATCGAAGAGTACTTACGCTGTTAGGTGTTATGGTTCTAGCAAACTCTGATGCCACAACAATGGTTACATTATCCCACAAATTTTCAGACTTCAACTCCTCAACGAGCATTTTTAGATTATTATCGACTTCGCTGAGTCCCTTTCCAAGTCTGTTTTTCATGTCTGAATGATGGTCAAAGATATTGTGATCGGTATAGAAGACATCTCGATCGGCATTCCGTTCTTCACGAATCTTGATAAGTCTGGCAATGATTTTTAGCTTACCATGTAGCGAACTATCATCTCGATTCCATATGTTGGGATCGACTTCAACATCGGCAAGCAATTTGTCAAAATTGAAGGCTTCTTCTACTCCATTTACAAAGTGATCTGACCACGTCTCCCCAAAAACACTAGAAAACAAGTCCACCTCAGCGTTAAGCTCTTCTGCATATCGTTCAAGTTCAAAATACTTCTCATGGTTTGGCCTCTTTCCAAATGGGGATACTCCTCCTGAGCTCACAACAGTCATTGACGTAGATAGGCCTGGTGTTCCGGTTAAGGTTACCGACGCTCCATTAACACTCATCGCATTTACCACGTGTCCTTTCTGCGTCAAGACATCTTTTGCTCTACCCAAAACTCCGGTTCCCACAAATGTGTCATATGGATCTACCCTCTTCGCTTCCTTTTGCATTCCAGCATGGTCAAATAACCGCGATCGTGTTTTTGTATTATAATTCTTTATTGTCATGCCGTTTTGATTGACAATTCCTGTATTTGCCATGAAAAGCAGATCACCTTCGTCGTATAACTGCTTCATGTATTTAAGATCTTTATTAATTGCAAATGACTCACATGGCTGTTCAGTTTTCGGATTGATTTTAAAATCAAACTCTCCCTGTGAACGATCAAAAGCAAGAACGTCACGCTGCTCTAAGTACTGCTCATCAACAGTTTGCCCAGCTGCATTTTTACCGCTACACGAGTCTGGGACCAAAACATTGAATGAATCCATTCCTCCCCCAAGCATAAGATAAATCACTGCCTTGTATGGAATATTTGTTGCATCGGGCTTGGTAGGAAGGGGGCGTTTTTTGCCCGTCTTCTGTACCAAACCCGTGGTATGAAACTCAGGAGATAAGACCATCAATTGCTGCACATTGATCATAGCTTCGAACTCGCCCTTTCCAGATGCAAGGGTGTGATCAAATACCTCTTTCATTATTCCTCTATTTTCAGGGCTAAGCCGCCCACTTGTCAGTAGCATCGCGAGATCATCAATGACTTCACTGGCTGATGCCTCGTTCAATCCATACGCACTTGGAAGATACTTATTGTTCCCCTGATTGTATATGTTGTTCCCAATTTCACATTTATTCGTCCAACCAGTCGCAATCCTCCCGCTGATCCCCATTCCTGAGTAACAATTGGAAGGGCCATACTTCAGATGGCTCAAAAATAGATTCATTGTTGTTACTGCGTTTGGTCCGTTCAAGATCTGACTCTCCGGGGAAACCATCTCCGCTGCTGACACAATGCCTGTTGTCGAAAAACAATCATTAGTTTTCACAATTGAAAATTGATACAAGAACCTATCGCATTGCATTCTTCGCTTCACGAGTTATTGATGTACGTACCCGGAGGACTGTATTGTGGCTTGAAGAAAGAGAAAACGCTTGGAATACTATGTGGTGCCTGTTTAATCCGGTCTTGTAAATTGAACTTGAATACTGGCAACGGATTGTCAGCATCTGGAGCAAACTCCAAGGATCTATAAATTTGAATAAGTTTCAAAAGGATTTCTCGAAGGTGTCCACTGTGAAAAAGAAAGTAATCATGGTAAGAAAAGCAAAAAAGAAGTCAGAAATATCCCTGAATGCCAAACAAACGACCGAATACTTACGACGTGGGATCAGCATCAAGGATGTGGTCTTGTGCCTCTCTATCTAGAACGACAGCTGCGATAGTTGCCTGTAGACAACCATACTTCTTACTTCCAAAAAATCTAGATCCATTTGAGTATGTACCAGTTCGAAAGGCTGTCGCTATGACATCGATGTAGCGTGGACTTGGATTCGATGTTCCAAATCTTTGCGCTAGTCGGTATGCAACGAATGGTGCAACATTTTGGTGGTAAAAGTAATGCTCAAGAGCAGCATCTAATTCGTTTCGTGCATCGCGAACTGTGTGCTCAGATAGTGACCAAAATGAGACTGGATTTCGAAAAGAAAGTTTCCCATTCCCCAACTTAACAATTGATACGAGATTCTTCCTGTAGGTAATTTGTCCGTTGAAGTCAGTAACTTTGAAGACCGTCTCCTGAGACAATATCCCTGGAGGATACTTATGGATGCCGTCAACAACAGTAGGGACAAATGAATCTGAAGGAGGAAATGCTCCAATATCAGCAGTTGCTAATAAATGATCAACAGAAATAAGCTCTGATTCGTTCACGAAAGCCATGGCGTCCTCAACTAGCGTTTGACATTGGCAAGTTCCATCAAGATCATCAACGAAACATCCCAAAGAATTACAGTTGGTAGAGTAGTCTAATAGAAAATCTCGAGCGTAGGAAGTTTTCCAATCGACACGAAAGAACATTTTTGTGTCATTTCGTACCATCCTGTAGGTCTCCTGAAATGAGCTGGTTTCCACAAAGTCGTGAACTATGGCAATGCTACCTTCCACCCCGATCTTCGCATGAATAGAACATGGCTCAGACAACCAATAGAATTGATTGCATCGATCGCAACCACCGTTCTTGGTAGACCTGTAGCCGCCGGGGTCGGGAGATTCGTTGAAGCAATCTTGCCAGCTAGATTGAGCGTTCTTGCAAAGTCTTAACCCTTCATTTTCTGAGCATCTCTCTAACGAAATGTCAAAACTGACACGTTCACCACCAAAGAGCTCCCTTCGCCATGGAATGTCCCATGACTTGGTATTGTCACAGCATAAAGTCGATGCCTCTAGATTCAATGGGTTTCCACACATATTTTTTTGCCAACCACAATGGCCATTCTTTCTTATAGATTGTCCATTGTTAAAGAAGGCTTGATTTACGCATGGAGGACGAACATATTCAAACCAAAGGTTCTTCGCAACCTCAATCGTGCGAGGTTGATGAATCTCACATTCGATTCCAGTGCACCGGATATCGGACTTAAGGATGACCTGAGATTGCGGGTTACAGTCTATACCGTTTCCATTGCAGAGAGCAAGTGCGAGAGGCGAGGAAGTAAAATCTAGTGATATTCGCTTCGCAGGCGCCCCGTACCAATCGCTGGGATCAACCAATAATTCAGGGTTGGGATCGGCACCAAGCAATCGGTATACGGCACCTTCCTTCAAGAAATGTTGACGAGGGAGATCACTGCAAAGTGGATATCCATCGCCTACGTACTTCGAATTCATTCCCATCTGAGAAATATGAGGAAGAGAGGTACATGAGGTTCACTAATTCTTCTATCTTCTTCGACATTTATATTTGATTAAACAACGAACGCACCTTTGGGAAGTGATCCTTATGTTCACTCATAATAAGCAACGGATCTACTTGATTGTGATTGCCGTCAATATTTCCCCTGCTTTTCTGAGCCACGAGACCTAGGTATATTTTTGCATACTTTCAGAGTTGAAGGAATGGGAAGCGAATTATGAGCTGCGTGATATTTTTTATCATAACATCATACTATGTGTAAAGCAAACACGAGTAAGACTCGCTTACCTCAGCGATGTCTTCGTTTGTGTATGGCAGGGGTTCAGTGCCATCATCATTGACTTGAATTGTTCCATTGTTGTTCAACATCTTAAGGCCGATGGAAAAAAGTTGCATGATCTCTCTGTGATTTAATGAGATATGAAGTGAGTTGATATGCAGGATGATTGTACCGGATTCCTTGATTATTCATTTTTTAACTCACCTTGCATAGTTTTCATCAGGTGTCAAGAACATGCTTTTTCTCACAATAGAATATCCTGTGCTGAGACCATCACGATAAGTCAACATACGAGACATAATGGGGTGATATGTCACCTCTTTCATGATATCAAAGTAATTGCCGAATGCGTGTCGAACAAATATATCATAGTAGGAAAGGTAAGATTCCGTGAAATCCTGACTACCAACGGCATCGGGCGAAACAGAAAATATTTGACTAAGCGCGAATGCCATTCGTTGACGAAGCTGATCTTTTGACCACAAGGCTATTGAATTCCAAACAGTGGCCCTTTGAGTTCGAAAGTCTCCACCAGTCGTTGCATTCTTATGGGTTCTCATATCGAATCCACCTTTTCCAAACGGACCGGCATGATCATTATCAACGTTTGCAACTTCAAATGGGCTACCACAGACTACCACTCCACCAGAAAATATTGCTCTGGCAGATCCGAACGCTTGCGCAATATCCTCTCTCTGCAGCGACAGCGGGAGACTCTTCAATGTAGTTGTGTCACCTGTTCGAAAATTAAAGATAGGGGAATGATAGTGAGCGGAAACAAACTTCTTTTTTTACCAATTGGGCTGCTGACATCACTTGCACCTACCAAGTCTACCAACATAAGAAAAAAGACCCTTCTTCCTATGCCAGCGATCCATTTCATGCCAGTCAGGATATGTTAGATACCATGTCGTGTTAGTTTCCGCGAAAGCTTTGATTTTATTTTCTCTAAAATTCCCGGGATGTGCGTCAGATGTCCTGTTGAATCGCGGTTGGAGAGAATGAGTTGAGATCGAATTTTATTGTTGAGAAAAACTATGCACGGGAAACGTTCACTTACCAATGCGTCATATCGTAGACTTGAAGATTGTCTGGATGGGTATTTTCATAGCATATCCCATCGATTTGAATCTTGAAATCAAATTTATCCGAATCTTCAGGCGAGCAAGTAACAATACCACCATCACTTGTGGGGAAAAAGACGTCTTTCATGAATGAATTAGTGTCGTCGGACATTCTTAGAAGAGTTTCGAAGCTTGATCTAGTCGTGCTGTCCCAAGAAGAGCCAGGGTTGTTGCAGTCATCTACCACAATCCACCGTGAGCGAGCTCCAGGGGTACACGGAGGGTCAGTCCATTCGGGATCGTTGCGCAAGCCAGTCACAGCATAAACGTACTTCGTATCACTGCCATCTTTACCACCTGTTTTCTGGTGAATCAATTCCAAATTTTCAACTGAAAGCTCGAAGTCCACGTCTTTCCCTTCTGCGGCGTAGCAAGCGTCTTCAGAGAATTGGCATGTATCTTCGTTGAGAAAGGTTCTTGGAGCATTGGAACATTTAGCTATGAATCGGTCATCGGAAACATGATTTGTTTCTGTTAGCGTGACTGCTCTCTTTCCGCCATCATTTAGCGGACTGTCTAATTGATTGTTTTGGATTTGAAAGATTGGACTGTGTATCCAGTATCGAGTACCATTCGTTTCATCCTGGGTCTCACCAATTATGATGCGTTCAGGTAATCCAATCACAATTTCGTCTGAAATACGGCATGCATCTTTGTCTAGAGTCGAAGTAACTTTTAGCATCTCCGTTTCACCCTGGAAGAAAAATTCTGTCATTACATCCTTGACATTTTCCGAATCTAATTTCACGACTGGTTGTTCTGGAAGATGACGATGTAAGTCGTCGAAATTTACGGCTGGATGTCCATATATATCATTGAAATATACCTGAAAATTGAAACACAGCGAGAAAAATGTAGTGAAGAAATTAGTGTAACGAAATGAATAACAGTTCACTAAATTGAACATGAAATTCAAACAGAATAGGTATCGCACTCACCTCTTTGCATCCATCCATTCCTTCTCCTCTCAACATGAAACGACCACCAACACCTTCAAATGGGCTTGAGCAAATCTCATACATTCCATATGATTCGGATTTCACATTTTCCCACACATCGTTTTTGACCTTATATTGAAATGGACCGTCCACGATGGTGCGCACCAAACCGTCTATGGATAGGATGAGTTTGTCCGGATCGTATGGGCTTACTGCAATCTCGACATAGCGACCTCGGTCCTTTGTGAGAAAGGCGTACCGTCTATATCTCGCGGACTCGTCGCAAGGACCAGTTTTCAAAAGACCTATCTGATTGGTCTCAGGATGCCAATGTGTTGCTCGTTCTCTATAAAATTGACGATGCGAAGTCAAATCCATGTTGAACTGTTCTTCCATCCACTCTCCTGGAGATGAAAATGCACTGATGTCGGCTTTCGTAGGACCATAGGTTGTTCTCTCCAGGAACCGTGCCCTCAACTCGTCCTGGGTAGGATCGCGGGGGTACCGCTTTGACTTCAATACATACGCGCGGCCTGTTTCGGGTGGAGGCAATGTCATACGACTAGACGACGATCCATCACAGTGAAAAGAAACCAACTGAGAAAATTTGTTTGCATAGTTCTCCCAAGGATTTCCATTGTAGGAACGCCCAACCGGCACAAAATTGCCTGCGACGGAGCCATCTTCCCCGATATCCATTTTCAATAGGATAGTCAGAGAATTTTGCCCACTTGTATTTTCGAGCTCCAAGGTGTCACCATCATTATAAGCTATGATAACCGGACCATCTTCTGGAGAAGGTAGTGCATGTTTGATGAGCTTGGGAGAATTGTTGTAATCGACATCGTTGATACTTTCGGATGAACTTCCAGTTTCGCTGTCGTATTTTGTCAATTCGTTTTCAGGACAGGTAGGCGTGCAATTAATAACGACGGTATATTCAAATAAGGAACCCTCTTTTGATTCGATGGGAGATGGATCGTGGCAACACTTCGGAAGTTTCGCCGTTTTGCTACCACCGACAACAAAGGTAGAGTCTTGAACATAAAGTTTCACCAAAGAAATTCCACTACTACTACAATGCGACTGAATTATTTCGGTAGTGTCAGCGATATTCTCGTTGAGAATGCAATCAATAGATCCAAAAGTGTCTGTATTGTACACAGTGAACAATTGATCGAGGGTTTCGCTTTCACTTGCAGCGTCGGAATCACCATTCGTCCACGTATTGCCCACTGCAAATTTTACTGTCGAGTTGGATTGTTGGAGGAGTCGGATCGGAGGGTTGTGATAGTCGACGTTTCCCGATACTTGCTTAATGACCTTGTAATCGTACGGGCAAAAGAGTGATGACGAAACAACAGCTTCGTCGCCCAGAGATCCCGAAAGTGAATCCAGAAATACGAAGGATGCTACTGCACGAGAAAAGAACGCAAACCCCATCGAAAAAAGCTCTGAGTTTGTTGTTATTCTCGATTTGTTGGTTTGCTGCTTTGGGTCTAGAAAGAAGATGTGATTAGGGTGTCCAGTTTCTGGCAGCAATACTTTTTTTATGATATGAGTGGTGTTGTCTTCGAGTCTGTCACTACTTTTTGGAACTCAAATCGCTACCGGTACGCGACTTGCCTAATCGTGAACTATCTTCCATGAGAGAGTCCATCGGAATCTGTTGGGCTCTACTTATTGAACCTACGAACTTCTTAAAAGATCCCACCACTTTCTTTCTCAGCCCTCGAGAAAAATTTGATATGTTCCGTTGACCAGAATAGAATCTTCTTGGGCCTATTTTTAAATAATGATACACCAGTTTTAAATATTTATAATGATAGTAATAAATGGCTTCCGTTTTTGTCACTCAACGAGAAGTATGCATCTAAAGAAAGATGGATGATACTGTAGGAGAATAGTAATTGCCCATCAAATATTAAACATCAACATAAAAAAGGTTTGGTTGGGCAATTCAAGTTTTAGTGACCTTGGATTACGACTGGTACGGTAGATACCTGAGGTAGGTGTAACAAAATCGAGAGATCGGGCCTCTTCTCAACTGGAAAGAACAAACTGTTCTTAGTACCGGTACTACTGAATTTTATTTTTTCCTCACGTTTTTTGAGTGGCGAGAGTTTGCTAACCTAAAAGCAGCATAGAGGACAAGGATACTAGTACTATTAGTATTACCACAATCAGCACACTACCAGCAGTGGCGCCTCGTCAAGAAAAAATTCTAGAACAACAAGCTCCTCCTCCTCTGGTGACCTCAACCAGAACATTATCCAAATTTTCAACGTCACAAGAAATGCTTAACATTCGTCAAAGCCTCCTCCTCTACTACTAGTACTAGTAGTAGTGACAACCTTACTAGTACTACTACTAACAGCAGCAGTAGTAAACTTTGCTATGACTCAAAACTCTCCTCCTTTTCCTGGTTTTCTTGTTACTTCCTCCTGTTAAAGGTACTCTTTTTTTGATCTAATCCATTATTGGTCCTATCATCGAGAAATTGAGTGATCGTCAAAGCACCTTAAACTCCTGGCAATCTAAAGCACAGGTTAGTCCACAAGTATGGAGGACTTGCCACCACGCAAAGGATAGAACACTTCAAGTGCAACTTTGAAAAGTGCTCTGTTCTTAAAGAATCCAACGCTCTTTTGAAGACTCTTCGTATCAGGTATTCCTAAATTGTCATTTGTCAGATGCGAATAGTAACACATCCATCGTCAAATCTATCTATTACGTCGCTCGAATAAGAAAGCTACTTAAACAATCCTTATATTCAACATTATAACGATGACTAAGACATTAATATTTCACCAGATTTTATCCAGGTGGTTATTGAACGATACAATACAATTGGTCATCGTGCACAACTGCTTTCCCCATCCTTTGTTTCGTTTCGTTCGGATCTGAATGTCATTGATTCCCCGATTCAGAAAGAAATTGCAAGAGCGCATTACTTTCAAAACATTTCATTCGATTCGATTCCAAGACCATTAAATAACGTCCACCAAAAAGTCGAAAATGTCAGTCTTTTGAATGGCCTCTCGAATATCCTCCTTTTGCAGAGTTCGTCGTTTGTGCAGTTGGGAATAGTTCCAGCTTCGAATGCTCAAATCAAGGATGAAAAGTTCGCATGCCTTGGCGAATAGGACGGGTGCCTCGGCAGAAATCATTCTTACGTCCTCGTCGGACTTCATGATGCGCTTGATACGTGCAAGGGGCAGATCGTTGTGCGTCTTGAAATCCTGCTCGGTCTGTCCCTTGAGTTCTTGCACGGACGCGAGTTGCTCCTTCCAAAATTTATCAAGGCTTCCGTTGAGTTGGGCCAAGAATTGAGGACTCGAGGAAGATGGAGCAGCGGCCGGAGGAATGAGATGGTCGTCCACTGATGAGAGGGCGTTGTTGTGATCCACAGCGCGCGAGTCTCCTGTGCCGTTGACCATTGCAGCGGGTAGACTCGCTACGGAGGATTGGGTTAAAATGCCCTGTGATCCCATGACTGGATTCGGCACGCCGGTAGGTGTGGACTTGACTTCCGTGATCGTTGTTCTGGCCGATGCAGTGGTTGCTGCGTTGCTATCTTTGGGAGTTTCGTCTCCCTTGTATATACCTGCAGCTATCTGCGCCTGTGTGTGTGCGTGGACGAGGGCTTGAGCTGTGTGTGCAAGTCGTTTTTGATAAGGTCAAACCAATGGGGGGAAGAGGAAATAAAAACATTAGTGAGATTTCGACATGAAGAGAAAATACGAAACAAAATAACAAGACCAACTTAATGCTATCTCTTCATTTGCACTCACCCTGGAGCTGAATCTGTGTTTGGATTTGTTGTGGCGTTCCTTGAGACTTCCTGGCATGAACAATAGCTTGTGCTTGAATTTGACTGAGGGCGTGGATCTGGCTCTGATTCATAGGAACGAGACCGTCGCCTCGAGTCTTCGCAGCAGCCACAACGGCCTGGGCTTGGGCAGCGGCCTGTACCATTGCTTGCGCTTGGGCCTAGCGAAGCAAGTAGCGACGAGGCATAGTATATGATACATATGTTGCGTGGTGATGCATTTGTGTTTGTTTGGAAATGATTAGAAGGCATCCACAGCATTCCGAAATGAATGAAAACGTAGCATCAAGATTGCATTAGAAAAATTGACAACATTTCGTTTGAAAACAACAAAATTCCTATTCAAGAGGCATTGAATAGTCGTGTCGATTGTCCCGCTCTCTCTTGCCCTTACCTGTATCTGTTCTGGGGTAATGTTGGCCTGCTGTCCGCGGGCCGCCGCCGCCTGGAGCTGTTGCTGGAGTTGTTGCTGAAGCTGCTGTTGTATTTGCTGCTGCAGCTGTGTTTTCGAATTTGGGGTGGCCGAGGTGGCGGTGTTCGGCTTTTTCGCTACCGGCGCCGGAGCAGCAAGGGATCCATTACCAACGGGAGCGGGTCGTTTGTTTGCATCCACGGCCGTTGCCGCTGGTTGTGCTGCCACTACAACCGGAGCAGCTTGAGCTGCTGGAGCGACGGTTGCAACCGGGAGTGGGGCTGGGGTGGCGACAACAGCAGGGGTTTGGGTAACTGCAACTGCAGAAGGTGCCGTTCCAACATCTTCCTTTTTCAAGCTGGGTTGGTCCATATTGTTTTCGGAAGAAGGAATCGAAAGAAAACCTGAAGATAGTTATCGTGACTTGATTGATTTGATGGCAGCAATCGGCAAAAGCTTTGCGGATTTGATGTGTCGTCGTTTTGAGAGGAGCGATGGTATCATCGGAAATGAAGGAGATGCCGCCAAATGGAGCCTCCTTGAAACAAGGCGTCTGGCTTGATTGCGTTTTTGTTTGCTCAGAGACCAGTTTGGATTGCTCGAGTAGAATCAACTACATTGCCTCGTAGAATAACATCTCCCGTAGGATGTACTACTTGTTCTTAGGGATTTCCGTTGAGATGTCTGTGCCAGCGTTTCGATCTTTTTTAAAATAAAATTTATCCTGAAAGCTGTGGAGATATGAGTTCCGCGTGGAAGTTCTTATTGGGTTATGCGCTTGTTTCATTCATAATTTTTCTTTGACTCGTACGTATGGTACACGTACAATTCGGTAGGCTATTACAGTAAAGCATTACGAACAAGTACTTTGTACTGTACCGGTAGAATTATTACTGTACTTCTACTTTACTTATCGTACCGTACTCTTGCGAACAGCTACCGGTATGACCATGACCCTGACAGTGACCAATGACGATTTTAACATATGAGTAGTATGGTAGTAGAGTATGGTCCACGTAGCAAATTTGTTACGTAAGGTTCGTACGATTCAAGAATCACAAACAGAATACAAAATCACTTCGATACAGTAATGGATGCATGGTGGTGCCACCGCACCTGCTACGCTGCGAGTCAAAGTAAGTACGAGTACCGTACAATTCTGTATGTATCGTACTACTGTTCATCGCTTGGAAAGAACCATTTTGGATCTAATTTGACTTCTACGACTCAACAAAAAGCGGGGGACTGCGCCCACCGCAGATTCAATTTTTCTTGTCGTGGCGAAGCCTAAATCTTTGTGATTGGCCAGATGGTTCTTTTTATTTCACGTCACATACCCGTTAGGATGCACCTGCATCCACGGCTTCCCATCTTCCAGCCTTTCCTTCCGGTGATGGTTCACTCCGGAGCTTTAGTTCGCCTCACTAACGTACTACAAAATCAGTTTTTCTTCTCTTTTGAAGTATTACAGTAGATTTCACCATGTTGACCCAATTCTCCCGCACCGTTGCCCGAAAGGCCTCCACCGGAGCCGCTTCCAAGCGCATGATGTCTGCCATCACTGGTGTCGACGCTCGCGAAATCATCGATTCTCGAGGAAACCCAACCGTCGAGGTTGATATTACCACCGCCACTGGAACCTACACCGCAAGTGTCCCTTCTGGTGCCTCTACCGGTGCCTACGAGGCCCACGAACTCCGTGATGGAGGTTCCCGATACCTTGGAAAGGGATGCTTGAAGGCCGTTGAAAACGCTAAGACCATTTTGGCCGACGCCGTCATGGGAATCGATGCCGCCGATCAGCGTGCCATCGACGAAGCCATGATCAAGGCTGATGGAACCCACAACAAGGCCAACGTTGGAGCCAACGCCGTTCTTGGAAGTAAGTTGAATCCTATTTCGACGAGAAGCGGTGCCTTGCCTATTTTTTGGCTGTGGATTTCGCGTCACCAGAGTTAGCCGTAACGCTCAGGTTTGAGGTATTTGTGGATTCGGTGGTCTTACTCGAATCTACCCCGTCGTTTTATATCCTGATCATCGTATCTTCTTTCTATTGCTTATCCTGTGGGAATTTTTGTTTTGCTGCCTAGTTTCCCTTGCCGCCTCCAAGGCCGGAGCTGGTGTCCAAGGAATTCCTCTCTGGAAACATTATGCCAACGTTGCCGAAAACCCGATCCCCGAAACCATGCCTGTTCCTTGCTTCAATGTTATCAACGGAGGAGAACACGCCGGTAACAGACTTGCCTTCCAAGAATTTTTCGTCATCCCCACCGGTGCCGAAACCTTCTCCGAATCCATGGAAATTGGTTGCGAAACCTTCCACGCCTTGAAGAAGGTTATCCAAACCAAGTTCGGAGGTGATGCTACCTTGATCGGAGACGAGGGTGGTTTCGCTCCTCCCTGCGATGTCGAGTCTGGTTTGGCCATGATCATGGAGGCCGCAGAAAACGCCGGATACGCCGACAAGATCTCCGTCGGTTTGGATGTTGCCAGTTCTGAATTCAAGGTGGATGGCAAGGATGCCTACGACTTGGACTTCAAGTCCGCTAACGGCGATCCATCCATGGTTTTGAGCGGAGATGAAATGGTCGCCCTCTACCAAAAGCTCATCGCTGAATACCCTATTGTCACCATCGAAGATCCTTTCGACCAAGATGACTGGACCAACTGGAACAAGATCACCGCCGCCACCGACATCCAAATTGTCGGAGATGATCTTACCGTCACAAACCCTGCCAAGATCCAGGAAGCCATCGACCAGAAATCTTGCAACTGCTTGTTGTTGAAGGTCAACCAAATTGGATCCATCTCTGAATCTATCGATGCCGTTAAGCTCTCCAAGCAGGCTGGATGGGGTGTCATGACTTCTCACCGATCCGGAGAGACCGAGGACAACTACATTGCCGACTTGGCAGTTGGTCTTGGAACCGGTCAGATCAAGACTGGAGCTCCATGCCGTGGAGAGCGTACCGCCAAGTACAATCAATTGTTGCGAATCGAAGCCGAACTCGGAGGTGCCGCCGTTTTCCCTGGAGCTGGCTTCCGCACTCCTGCCTGGATGGCTTAAAGAAACAAACAGTTTTTTTCTATCGTGTGAAGAAAAACTGGGTTGTCAGACTGCTCGGTGAAGCTTCTGTTCCCCTTGTGCACGTGCGCTGGTATTGTGTAACTCCCCAGCTCCATGGATGGATCCTTGGTTTTAAATCCACGCTAATTTGGAGATTTAGAAATACAATTTTTATTGATCCTTCTGTTCTGGATGTTACGCCTCCTTGAACAATGTTTTCAGTTATTTCGCACTGCTCGTTTAGAAGAGTTTAGGATTTGGACTGATGTGAATCGCACAATCTGAAGCAAGTAGACTCATCTAAAGGACGGTACAGTGCGTACTCGTTCTCATATCCAAGGGAAGGACGATTGGTGTAGGTGTCGTACGTACTTCACCACACTTTGTTTCCCAGGTCAGGGTCAGGGATCAATATTTTTCTACACGATATTCCCTGAATTGGCGCGCCCAAAGTGTGACGTACTTCTAATTTCACAAGTGCCCATGTCAAGTGATGTCAAGTTTGACAATTTCATCTTTGAAGTAAAGTCTGTCCCATCGTTGCGTAAGATTCTTCAGAAATGTGATCCGATCGACAACTGTGATAGTTTTGCCGTGGGATACCAGATCACTGTTCGTTTCGCTAAAATTGTGGTGCACAAACTAGTGTCTTCAAAAATAAATGAAATTTGAAATTTTGTTCGTTCTTTAGTAGGATGTTTGTGTTCTATGATGTATGTATGTTAGGCAAAAAATCGAACGATCCCGACACGGTCACAGTCGGCCCCCTCAACTCACGAGTAGATGAGGTGTGGACAAGTGTGTGAACACGTAAAAATCTGTCTCTTCAGGCTTTCGCTTGAGAAACTAAAAACAGTTATGGGTCAAGCTGAGAAACACTTTCTTCTGTTCGTCCATAACAATTCTGACTAAACGCGGTCGTGTGAGCGTATTTAGTTGAGGACGTCGACGCACTTAAGATCTTCAGCGGCCTTGCACAGACGGGCAGCCATGGCTTCTTCTCCGGCACGGAGGGCGGCACGAGGATCGTAGTACTTCTTGTTGGGCTTGTCCTCTCCCTCAGGGTTTCCGATTTGTCCCTGGAGGTAGTCGTGGTACTTGGCTTCGTATTCACGAATTCCGTCCCAGAAGGCCCATTGGGTGTCGGTGTCAATGTTCATCTTGATGACTCCGGCCTCGATCGCGTACTGGATATCTTCGACAGAAGAACCCGAACCTCCGTGGAAGACGAACTTCATGTTCTTCTCCTCACCGTTGTCGAGCTTCTCGGCGAAGTACTTCTGGGTGTTGTGAAGGATTTCGGGTCGAAGTTCGACATTTCCAGGAGCGTAAACTCCGTGGACGTTTCCGAAGGAAGCGGCACAGGTGAAGGCAGCGTTCTCGACCTGGGAGAGTTGTTCGTAGGCGTACCAAACTTCCTCAGGCTGGGTGTAAAGACGGGAAGCGTCAACATCGGTGTTATCGACACCATCTTCCTCTCCTCCGGTAACACCGAGTTCGAATTCAAGAAGGATGTCCAACTTGGCGAACTTTTCCATGTAGTCCTTGCAGATGCTGATGTTCTCTTCGAGGGATTCCTCGGAAAGATCGAGCATGTGGGAGGAGAAAAGAGGCTTTCCGTTCTCCTTGTAGAACTTCTCGTTTTCGGCGATCAAACCGTCCATCCATGGCAACCAAGCCTTTTGGCAGTGGTCGGTGTGGAGGACGACAGGAACTCCGTAAAGTTCAGCGACTTCGTGGACGTGCTTGGCGGCAGCGACGGCTCCAGCAATGGAGGCCTTGTCGTCGGTGTCGTCGGCGGCCTTTCCGGCGATGAAGTAACCACCTCCCTTCGAGAAGGTAACCATGATGGGGCCTCCATACTTCTTGGCGGCTTCCATGCAGGCATTGATGGAAGAACTTCCAACAACGTTTACTCCTGGGATGGCGAATCCTTCCTTCTTGGCGTGGTCGAGAAGGTCAACAAGAGCCTGTCCGGTGACAACACCAGGCTTGACAGAGGCAGGGAGCTTGGCGAAAGCCTGCGAGTCACGTAAAATTGTTGATATAGTGTAAGCGTCGAGCGAATTCCGTGGAAAAACAAATGAAAGTGAGCATAAAATAAGTCGATTAAGAGGAATTCGCAAAAATAATTTTACGATAACTAAGTGCCAAAGCATCAGTTCCCCGCAAGGATGATTGATTCTCAACCATTGCTTATAGACCTGAGACAGAAAAATGACACACCTTGGTCTCTTCAGCGGCTTCAGTGGCCATGTTGAGAGGGGCAGTTCGTCCCTGGAAGCCAGTGCTGGGGGCAAAGGCAGCGGCGGAACCGGCGGTGGCAAGGAAGGCGAAGGTGGAGAATTTCATTTTGCTATTTGATTGATGTCGGTGCTCGTGTTGTGAGATGAACGGGTCCAAACGAAGTTTTTGGAATCTTTCTCGGTTGATTGAGACTTTGCGCTACGTAGTGTACATACGGTAAGAAAACGCACGATACCACGATTGCATACGATAGACCAGAACGAGCCGCCTGATAACGAGAAGCAGGTTGCTGGCTGATGCATGTCATTCACACGATAGAAGAAAGGAAGATGATGTGTGACGCCAACACGACAGACACGGTAAGAGCATGAGCAAAGGACATACATACGCACACGTGAATTTTCATGGGAAGTACGTCAGCTCTTCAATGCTGACATCGATAACCCATAGTGGATTCGCGCGGTGAGAACCCCTCCGAAAAATCTCGAAGAATCCTTTCATTTTTGGGGAGGGAAACGCACGTGTACATTTTTCATATATTAAAGATACATAGTATACATATGTAAACCAAATCAATACTTTTTGTGGCCCGTCAGGCGTCCGTAGCTGTGACCAATGTCCAAACACTAGATCCTGGCCGACGGTTCATGATGTACAGGAACGTATGGTTGTACTTTGTACTACTGCATTGGCAATTGTTTCCGTACCCTACCGGCCGGTACCTTTCGCTTCCTAGCATCGTTTGACGAGGAAATACTTTTCACGAATACAAGGACTATCTTCGCAAAGAGAACGAACCGGATAGAAATACTCTAGGAAAGCACAATGAAAGCAGATAGTGCCATCGTAAACCTCACTGTTTCCACGGCAGAACTCCATGGAGACCCCTTACTCCAGCTAGTCACCAAGGCAGCGTCTCCTCTCCAACTGACCGTGAAGACTTCCAAAAAGGCGAGCCTCTCCTTGGAACTGTTGAGTGGATTCAAGTTGACGCAGCGAAATTCCATTATCCGTTGCTTGTGTGGAATGGGCCTTCACAACGCTCTCGATGGATCTCCCTACTACCTCTTGGGAGGCCACGCCTCTACATCCAAGGCCTCCCCCTATTCGGCCACAGCCCTGGCTTCTCTCACGGCTTGGATGAGCCTAGCTGGCGAGGTAAGAAATGGGGGCCAGACCGAAGGTCTCTTGGAACAGATCGATAGCCATCTTCAGACCCGAGCATTTTTGATCGACAGTCCCTCGCTGACTGTTGCCGATGTTGATTTGGCTGTGGCCCTGGTACGATCGAAAGCCGGTGCTTCCTTGGTGGGAGAAATTCCCTCCTACTCGAATGTTCACCGATGGATCGTAGGTATTCAGGAAAGCCTGAAATTGAAATTCGAAATTGACCTTTCGGCAAAGACTCCAATTCCAGCCATCTCAAACAGCCATGGACCGCCCATCTTTTTCTATGGAAACGAGACGAACGTTGTCATTCCCAAGGCTCCCATTTCCAAAGCCAAGGCAGCCAAACCGGTGGGTGGCAATAATCAGCAACAGCAAGGGCAAAACCAGTCCAAAGAATCGAAAAAGGAAGCCAAGGCAGCAACTAAGGGTCAACAGAAACAAAAGCAGCAGCAGCAGCAAGCTGCAGCAACCTTTGACGTATCCGCTTTGGACATTCGCGTTGGTAAGATCGTTAAGGCTTGGCACCATCCCGATAGTGAAAAGCTTTTTTGTGAGGAAATCGACCTAGGAGAAGAGGCTCCCCGACAGATCGCTAGTGGTCTCCGCGCCTTTTATAAGACAGAAGAGCTGGAGGGACGCAGGGTTCTTGTCTTGTGCAACCTTAAAAGCCGCAAGCTTGTCGGATTTCCGAGCCACGGAATGGTGCTGTGTGCCTCCAACGCAGACCATACGGCAGTCGAGTGCATGGAACCGCCTGAGGATGCCCCTATCGGAACACGCATCATGTTTGAGGGTTACGACGGGGAACCGGAACCTGAAAACAAGATTGCCAAAAAGAAGATCTTTGAAAAGGTTGCTCCCGACCTCAAAACGGACGCTAACGGAGTTTGCGTGTGGAAAGGTGCGGCATGCACGCCCAGCATCAAGGCTAGTAAGGGCATGCCAAATGCCCAAGTCTCGTAATATTTCGTAGCAGCAGGAATGAACTCTCTCAGTTGAGATTTGATGTCAGCCAAAGATCGAGATACTCTAAGCATCAAACTTTTCAAACGTGTCTTTCGCAAACGGCACCGAAGTAGAAATTGATTGTCAATGCAACTAGTGTTATGCTCTCACTTCACAACGCCAACAAGTTCTTCCTCTGAAAAAATGCTAGATTGAATGCGAATCAGAAAAACCATTGTTTCTGACGGGGCTATCGGCTTCACAAGATCCAATCTCCTCAGCGGATGGATTCCTGTTAAGAATTCTTCGTCCGCATTCATAGCAAACTCGTTCAACATATGAAATGCATCTTCTGAATGCCCAGTGGTTGCGAAAGCTTTTGTAGCATCTGTCCTGTGGCATTCCCAGAGCACCGACTTCCCTCTCTAGTGAGCATTTTCACATGCTAATGGACACTATTAATTGTATTAATACATGAATCAGGAATAGATGACGTAGTAGATGTTTCAACCATACCAAATCAATTGTTCTTGATCTTAGATGGAGCTATTACTAGTAATGGATTGTGTTCATTATTCAACAGTAAAATACTAGTACCAAAAATATCAATTTAATGTCCAACAAAATGGTATATTCGGAATCACCAGCATTAAAAAATGGGCTAGACTGACTACTCAAAAATAAAATAGTAGTATTTTTGATCAAGCTGTAACTGCTTAAAGGTTGGATAGCTTTACTAGTATTATGCAGCAGTAAAAATGAGGATTTAAAAAAAATCCTGGGGTGAATTTTTGGAAATTTGGACCACACGTGGAATATGAAATTTCGATTCGATGCGCTCTCCTCTAAATTATGGGTACAGTACCGTTACTGGAAACCTACTGTACTAAATTTTAATTACTGGAAATCTACCGATCGGATTAAAAACATCTTACTTTACTGGAAATCTACCGATACTCTTTCTTCTTATCTATTTCAACCTTTTTTTAACCTCCAACCAAGAATGACACGTGCTTTTCACCATTAACTTACCATTTTCCACGCTAGCCTCCCTCACCCCCTCTCTATTTCAGAACACCTTTTATTTCCAAAGAAGACCTTCCAACCAGGCATACAATATTATGATACAAGAATATTATGAGTTCCTCCTTTCCGTTTGACAGGAAGTATAAAATATACATTATTTAAAATAATCATAACATCCAAGCAATTTTGTTTATGAAGCACGTGTCATTCTTGGTCGGAGGTTAAAAAAAGGTTGAAATAGATAAGAAGAAAATGTATCGGTAGATTTCCAGTAAAGAAAGATGTTTTTAATCTGATCGGTAGATTTTGAGTAACTAAGAAAACGAACGGTAGGTTTCCAGTAATAGTTCCCTAAATTATGACCCCTGCCGTACCGTACGTACTAGTTCATACGGTAGAAGAGTATAGTAGTACGTACTTACGATACAATTAGATACGGTACGGTACAGGACGTGTAGTCTTGCACTCTTGACTCTTGATAAACACATGCGCGCATTGAAACTATTACCAACCGTACGAACTACAGTGTTAAACATATCAATAAAAACAACTTTCAGTCCCCTTTTAATCTGAACTATTGCACGGATCAGTTATTGTCCGTCCATCAACCTGCTACACAATTTTTGCCTTTCGATGAATCTAAAAAAATAAAATGTTCAGGACCTCTCCTATTAAAAAAATAGCATTGAATTTGTCGATCTCAAGGTCGACGAATGGACGGTCACTGGTTTTCTTCATTTGTTGTTGTTGAAAATTAATTGGAAATGTGCTTAAAAAATCGTGTGCATCACTGCGCAGGACCTCCAAAACGCGACCTAATCGCCAAACCAATCTTGTACCTTAGCGAAATTACATAGAATCTAGAACAAAAACATTTTTGACAGCTTGCAACTATCAGACATACATGTTCTCTCCAGTTCTCTCCGATCTCCAACTGACCAATCATAAGTAGATTTCATATTCGGGTGAACAGAACGGAACACATCAACGGTCCTTTGAGTTGATTGACGAGAATCTCTATGTCAGCTGGTCTCAAATCGGGACAGAAGCGAGCAGATTGCCGGCACGAAGAAACTCATTTTTTTGTGGTACTCGTACTTTATCACTCCACATCATAACGCACCGGACAACGGTACAGCACCTAGTACAGTACTTCGAATTATTAATACACTCCACCATTTTTTCAGAGGAAACGTCCATAATTCACAAGGCGGGTCGAAAGTGTACACCACGCGGTCTCCAGTCAGCATCAATTCAATTTGATCGATTCGGTAGATAAACATGCGAAACACGATACGCGATGCCTTGAGCAGAAGCAGATGCAGTAGCAGCAATACCTATGGCATCAGCAATGTTCGAACACGAGGGAGTGCGTGTATGGAGGAGACACCTCTGCCGACTGTTCGGCGGTTTCAGCAACCCTTTCTATTCTGCCTCCTATTATTTTCGATATGTTCGGCAACGGATTCCTTTCAACAATCCGATTGGAGAAATAATAGAAGGCAGCAGCACAGAATATCTCTTGCATCATCCCTACAAGCTACAAGCATCGCGAACGGGCCACCTCTTATTGGAGTATACGGTGGAGATATCTTCGATCCTTGCTCCGATTCTAACTGGTACAGTCGACAACGCCAACGAACACGAAAGAAACGAAAACAAAGACGAGCCAAGACGGCTTGCAACGACGCCGAATACCAAAAGCGAAAGCAGGAATGGGCAGATCGCTACACTACCCTCGAAGGACTGCGGGAAACCTTTGGGTCGAACCGCAACAAGCTCTACGGAGATTTGGACGTGGCCACCACTCGTCGCTTGTACAAATCCCTCTTGCCCACGGCAGTCTGCGAGCTGGTGTTAGATCTAGAGGTGAAACCCGAAGAACTGGCCCAACTTGCCTATGATGCCCGCAAGGCTGCAAAGTTGTATGCGAGGGAGCGGTGCCACCTTCCAGCCAGAGTATTTGCCAACTGCTACGACGGTGTTCGATCGTTTCGGCGGTATGGGCGCTTTCAGGTCGAGGGCATGTCGTACGATCAGATCTTCAACAAATACTACGAGCGCTCGGCAAGGGAGCGGTCGATGCGCAAGATTTCTTCTCAAAAGAAAGGGGAACAAGGGATCGATATTGGAGACGTAGGAGGAACCGATGTCTCCCATGGTTGGGACGAAGAAGACATTGTAACGCAGACATGCATGAAGATTTTGGAATCCGCTTGCCGGACGAACCCGTTCATTGATCAATTGGCTCTATCTTCCTCCAACGAGAGCAACAATGGTCGCAACAAGAAACGAATGGATCGGAAAGAACTGGAACAAATTGCACAAAAACTAGAACAGGACGTTCGAAAGCTTCTAGACCCCTACAATCAGTTATGATTTGGTAATCAAAAATTATGACTGTCTACCGCACGATGCCAATCGTTTCAGATACAACCTACAAGCCGAGATTGATTTCATTTCATTTCACTCGATTCGATTCGGTTCGGTTCGAGGACAAGAAGTGAAAAAATCGGGGCCTTTTGTATATCAACTCATGCATCACATCATTTATAACATCATTTGCTAGCTACAAGAATCACTAAAATCAACAACACCTGCTCGCTAACAGAGCCTTCGAGGCCGATCAGAATTGACCGACAGACATCCTAATGTACAGAAAATTATAGATTAAACGAAATATCCAAATACAATAAAATTAAAGATGACACTATGTCTATTCGAGTTGGTAGATTATTTGGTGTCTCAACAGTAAGAAAAATTGTTGGTGCTTGTGGTGCAAAATTTCGTGACTGTACATAGGAAAAGTTTTCATGTTTGGAGAAATAAAATACATATCCATACATCGCACTTCGCGTTTGCATTCTTATCGTGTAGGTAATTACCATATTTTCCGCGAGGGGCGACAGAGAATCTAAGTTGTACTCATTCTTTGTCCTTGAAGCATAAGTGCTCTGCCCTGACCAGTTAATCGGTCACTTTTTTGACCCCATAGGTTTCTCGAGTTTTCTTGCTCATAGCTGCTACTGCTTCGGGGGGGATGATTCCCGATGCTAGGTCGGAAGCCAAGGCAATGGACATTGGCTCGGGAGGAACTCGATTAGCCCCGTTGGGATCCCTTCGATTTTTTCTGAAAGCAGACAAACGGGGCAGAGGACGGTCCCTCGGCCAATATCTGTCGGCCACCTCCCTAAGGAACTGATTCCATGTCCCCCAATTCTCGGTTCGAACATAATCCAATGAAGACTTTCCCTGTTTGTCCTTCAAAAAGATCTGGATGGGATCGCGCTTCAAAATGTCCTCTACAATGGGTCGACAGAATTTCTGTGCCCAGCAGCAGTGGTGTAAAAGTGTCCTACCGAGGCCATCAAAGTCATGTATATCAGCTTTGAATTCCAGCACGAGGCAGTGGTAAATGGGGATGTTTCCCTGCTTGCATACTAAATCGCCAAGGACGCTGTCACGAAACTGGTTGCATGGATTCGGTGACAAGCCACAGTTCAGCAGTTTTGAAAGGAGGGTGGTATCTGAGGATTGAACGGCCCTCACTAAAGAGCTACCGTAAGATGCTAATTGTAGTGGCGAAGGAACCAGATCGTATTCGGCTGCATCCAATTTTAGGAAATTGTCTTCGCCTAGGCCCCGATCCCTCAAAATCGCACTGAATGCTTCATGGGGGGATATGCATGGGCCAGTGTCATTTTCGTGGTCTACTTCGCGTGTTGGATTGCAAACTTCGATACTTTTGAACACCGCCGGAGCGGAATATCCCTGGTTAGTGTTGGAATTGGCTGGGCGGCGCATCGTATCGTTTGCAACGATTCTTGCCAAAAGAGAAGGAGCAAATACAACAGATGGTAGTTTCATTATCTGTTGCTCGATTGGTTGTTCTTTTTCAGACAATGGAAGCTTGGTTTTTCGTCCGGACGACATCTTTCGTCGTTGCCTAGGCTTTGGTGAGACCGCCGAAGCGTTCCTCTTGGATCCTATTATTTTCTTCGTTGGTTTTTGGTTTCTTGTATCTGCTATAGGCGTCTCTATGAGCTTCAAAGGATGATGAAGGACTTGAGAATTTTTTTTTGAGCAATTTCCCGATTCTTTGCTCACGATGTGTATCGGTTGCTGAGCATGCTGCACAACTAATGGTTTTTGCTGAGTCACAATCAGGTCAGGTGTGGACTTATGTGAGTGTGTGTGAGAGAGAGTATGTATGCGTGTGTGTGTCACACGTACATACACATAGGATCAGATTCGTTCTCGTCTGAAAAGTAAATTTTAAATCATCATTGTCGCTTTCGTTCATTTCTTACCTTTTCTACCGTGATACTTTTTTTTGAGCCAGGCTCATGCTGATGTTTTCGTTGCTGTTGGTTCGTACGTTCCGAAAGTCGCACATGGATTTCAGAATGAAAAACATCATTCATCATGAAATCTGTAGCAAAGTCGTCATCGTTCCATTCTCCGAAAAGTATACTGGATGAATTGGACGTGGGAGGACGAAAGTCAACGTGCTGATTCGTCGACAGTGGTTGGATCTCGTCTTGAAGCAACGCTAATGTTGACGAAGAAGGCGCAGGACAGCTGTCACTGCCGTTGCATAAGGTGTGATTTTTCTTTGACCTAGGAACAGACGGATTTTCAAAGGACCCCTGATGCTGATTCACGGAATCAATAACGTTCTTGCACTGACCGGGTTTGGCCTGCAGCGGAGCGTTCCAACCTTCTTGACTACGTTGTGATCTCCCCGATTGTGATGCCATTACTTCTGGTGACTGCAAATTCTGTCGCGAAGTACTTGTACCTTGCACTTCCCCGGACTGTTGCTTAGATTTCAAAACATTCGTGAGGTTTTGCTGGAGCTGTTGCAAGGCGCCTTGCGTCTGGTTGCCGTTTAGTTGATAGTAGTTGCTGGAAGTCGGTGATCCGCTTTGATGGGGTTGGGGTTGGGGACCACCATTTGTAGAAGCGGGAAGTAGTCTGACTTGAACGGGCACCATTGAATGCGAGTTAGGGTTAGAATACACGTTATTGTTACCATAAAGAAGTGGGTAAGGTTGATGTTGATGTTGATGCTGATGCCGCCGCTGTAGCTGCTGTTGGTGGTTCTGCTTCTGCTGCTGCTGCTGCTGATGTTGCTGATGATGATGATATTGCTGCTGCTGCTGCTGCTGCTGCTGAAGCTGCTGAAGCTGCTGATGATGCAGAGGATGTTGATGTTGATGTTGATGTTGATGCTGATGTTGCTGATGTTGCTGCGGCTGCGGCTGCTGAGGATATTGATGCGGGTAGTGCTGTGGATGATGATGTTGTTGTCCTGGCATAAAATGGCGTTGGTTTTGATTCTGAGTCTTTCCTTGGCAAAACTTCTGCTTCTCAATTTCCGTGCGGTGGAAGAATTGACCCGAGTGATTGGAGATAGGCACTGTCCCAACATCATTTAAACATTTTGGATTCATTGTGAAATTCTGTCCTCAGTCGTGTGGACGACGAACGCATTTGTGTTTGTGTTCGTGCGGTTCAAAAACAGTGCAAGGTCAACCCGCAAATTTTCCTTTGCAAAGCTGAAAGAGCTGTTGAAAACTGTCTTCTGCCGACTACTTCTAGTTCTTGCTCGTCTGGTATTTGATGAACAGCGCTGTTTGGTGTGACCCTTGTTTTCGGTGACAGAATTATTTTTTAGTTTACCTTGAAGAATTCACGAGTGACACGACTGTTGTTAATAGTTGTTTCCTCTCCTTAGAACTCTGTACGGGTTGAGTTTGATGTTCACTATTGATTTGAATCTGTTTGGCACATGTCTGACATACTGTTCTACTTGTTCTCTGAAAAGAGAACAACAAAGTTGAAGGCGGAGAAAGGCAGACAATTATTACTGTTTGTTCTTTTTAATGACATCACAAGCGAGAACCATGTAAAATCCATAAGTAAAACAAAAAGCCTACTATTCATTCCCGTCCAGACACACAATGAGTCGCAAGCTTTGGGTTTTTTTGCTTAAAAAAGAACCTTCGCGCTTGGTGCCCCATTCGAGAAATGAATAGCCAATGGGCTTAAAAATATTTACTGAACACATAAGCCGAACGAGAAATACTTTATTGGTAATTCTTCAATTTGTTTGAATATGGATGTCGCAGTATGAGATTTCACTCAGAAAATTTACTGTAATTCGTAGGAATCGTTTCTTGCACGTACCGTATGTAGCGGCAATATTATCTGCAATCCGTTAGGGCTTTGTCCTAGTACCACAATCATGGCATCATTCTACGGTACCGTACCATACTCGCGCTACAAATGTCTGATTCTCGTACATACGAGTACCGTTCGTTAGTACCTTAAGAATTGAAAAATCATGAAGTCAGTTGCGACGCGACCATTTCAATTTTCAAATCCGTTACAAATGAGCCTGCCTGCCAAAATGAGATTCATTCCATCCCTGTTGTCCCGAGGTCTTCAAAAAAACTTCAGAATTTTCGGATCCCGATCACAGCACGAAGTCAACAAACAACAATTGAATAAAACTGCGAACAAATTCAAACATCACCTTAGATAGTTCATCTCGTTGGCATATAATCGAAACGGAGCACACAGTGGTCACTAGAGGAAAGAAACATGGGCCCTTTGCCAACTACCTCCTTCTTATCCAAAAGCAAAAGAGAAGAAGAAAAAGACCAGGATGAAGTAGACGAATTTAAGAACAAAATCTTGCGCAATCAGAGCTGTCGACAATGGCTTGTTTCGGAATCTATTAAAATCGCATTTTTACTATCATTCGGTGTTGTGCTCTTGCAATGGAAAATCATGAAACAAGTCGATGTTACAGAGGATCTTAGCTTCCAGCCTTTTGTATCTGGCCACAGAGCTCTCAAAACTCTTAACGCCCCTCTAGGTGAAAAAAACGACAATCCGAAGTATCGCAATTGTCCTTTTCGAGATTCGCCTATTGTAGAATCAATCTATGTTTATCCGCATCCAGGATCTCCCGAATGGAAGGGAGATATTCTATCGAATTATACAAGAATCCAAACGAATTCAAGTAGCGAAGATTTTATCGTGTATCCGTGGATAGACAACGACCTACGTTGCAAAGCTGCTGGTGTTGGTCCCTACGATGGCACATCGCAGCTTGTTCAATACAATACAGAACTTTTGGTACGAGATATAATAACACACCCTGACTCATGTTTGAGGACGAATGACCCAGAAAAAGCAACCTTGTTTTACGTTCCATATCTTCCATCGGCCGAATACAAAAACGGGACGCTTTTTGGTAAGGATATGTCACAAAGTAAATACGGAAAAGCCATCCAAAACATAATTACCAAACAAGAGTACGAATCGTGGGAAAAGGAATTCGGGCTTACATCGGAATACTGGAAAAGACGGAACGGTTCCGATCACATTCTTGTCTTCAGCGAACCCATGCACGGATTATGGCATCCAAAATCGAGACGCGGAAATTTCCATTTTCTACATAGTCAATTCCAAACACATTCACCCATTGTTATTTCGAACGAACTCAGCAAAACATTCATTGATATGTATCCTTTGTGTGCTAGAAAGAATATTCTCGTGCCGTATCCAAATACGAATGGAAGGTGGTTCAATGGTGCACTGGATAACGAGGCAGTCGCGATGATGACAGAGCACTCTGGGATTCGAAAACTATCCGAATCGCCGGGTGCGATTCAGAGTGAGATAGATTTGGCAAAACAATCGGAACTAAAAGAAACATCCAACGGATCGAATTCAACGCCACCCCGCCTTTTAGGATATTATTATAGTGGTGGGAATCATGGGACCTGTGTTGACCTTCGAAAAAGTATGAAAGATGAATTCCGGTGCTCTCCATCCGGGAAGATGGTAAAGAAATACAAAAAAGCACTCAACAACTACGCCCATGGGTATCGCCAATCTACCTTTTGCCCTTGTCCGGGTGGTGATTCACCGTCCGCGAAACGTAATTTTGATTCCGTGTTCGCCGGATGCATTCCTGTCATTCTGTCGGAAGATTTTGTTTGGCCCTTTACATCTGAATTTGATCGGAGCAGTAATAGTGGAAGTGAAAGCGGTATAGTTGCATTGAACCCGTATGACTTTTCTATTCGTTTAAACGCCAAAGACCATTGGCATTCTAAGTTCGACTCCCCAAAAAATTGCAACCCAAAAATCAACACCGGAGAAGGGCACAATGAAACAGATCATCGGTCTCTGCAATCTGTGTTAGAGGCCGTTCCATCGAAAGAATTGGCACGACTCCGACAAGGGTTGGCGCGAGCAGCCGAGGTCTACTCTTATTATAGGAAGCGACCAGACCTGCCCGACGAGCCCCTTCGAGAGGGGTTACTACCCGACGGTGGGGCTGCCCACATGCTGGTTCGGGCATTGGCAGAACGAGCTTCAGGTGCATTATGGAATGCGTGTCGACAGGAAATGAAGGGCAAGGACATTTCGAAGGACTCGGTCAAAAAATTCAAATGCTGAGAGCTGATACTGTGAAATAGGTCAAGAAAAATTGCGTATTAAAGAAATAGGCCGCAAACATACAAAAAGATGCGATCATGCAATGAAATGCACACAAGATGAAATTGTTATTTGTCAACAAATGCCGCTGCATACTTCGCAGAACCCACAACCAGAGAGTAGTACTTGATCAGGTATCGTTCAAATTGTAGAAGGCAATGGTTTTCGACGTAGTAATGGGAACTATCGATTTACGAACAAAACGTCGGCCCAATAACTCATTTACAAGAAGTGTACATTATCGAACTGCTGAGACAAATCAGAGAACATGGAAGCAAGCGAAAAAGATATTACAACTGCTACAAAACTGCTGTACTGCGTTCACTATTCGTATCAATTCGCAAGAAACAACAGGCATTGACAAGAAACCTGTTGCCGGCTCGTTGTTTTCCTCCGCTGAACATTCCCCTTCCGTCGCTCAACATTCGAAACCGTTGCGATAGCTTCTTTTTGAAAAGCCGTAACATGCGACTGACACGTATTGATTGATTATCTTTCTTATCGACTGTTTTCATTCAATACTAGAGGGTTTTGTTTACTTGGTTGTTGGTTGTTTTTCATTCGTCTCGTGGTATAATTGATTTTTTTTATTTCACGCGGTATCCCAGCTGATTTAACGTATCCACCATTTCCGCATTCTTTTGTTGCAATTGATAGACATCGTTATAATATTGGCTGTAGAGGGCCTTTTGCTCCTTCTTGTGTAGGGCGTTAAGCTTTTTCTCTTTTCGTTGCGCGTGGATCTTTCCTCCCATGATCCATCCGAGCCCCGTTCCGATCAAAATCTTTCCCCATCCAAAGGGTCTATGCGCAGCGCGTCATGCCATTGAGTTGTTGTGTGAGGTTGGATAGCGCCATCGACCGCCGGGTCGAATCCACGAAAGAAGTGCGTCGAGAGAAACGATGTTTCGTGAGATTGCAAAGACGGAAAGCAAGGAGGCAGTGGATTATGGAGCATGCGAACCAGCAACTATGGGTCGATCCTTCCAAAAATATCGAAAACAAGCATATCGCTGCCACCTTTTGATAGAGCATGGCCACTCCCGATTCATCCGCTTTCACTGGTGTTCTCGCTCCTTCCCTATCCGACGGACAAAAAATGATTTCGCGGACATTGGCAACGGATGATGCGGTACAATTGACCCATCCCTGCGAGTCATCGGACCCTGTACTATGCCGCATGACATATGATGCCATGGAAACAAACCCGCCCGGTCTATTTGGCGTCTTCCTTTGCAAAACCTAGAGGGCCAAAGGGCAACAACACGAACTATATGCCACGTGGAACCATATATTACTCACGCTTTCCCTGCGACTTCCTTAGCTTGCTGTTGCCTGGCGTAATCTGCGTAGAGTCCGTCTTGTGAATAATCTTGTTCGTAATGGTCTTGATAGTCTTGTCCGTGGGTGGTTGCCAACAAGGCTGTCACCACGAGCAGCAAAAGGCTTCGAGAGATCATCGTTTTTCCGAGCACAAGGAATATGTGATCAACCTTTCACGCAACGGCAAAATCATTGGGAGAAAAGCCAAGCTTTGAGTTTTCGGCTTCTTCATCGATTGATACGGTGAGGCACGGTATTGAATTTTGAGGTGTTGTATTTTAAACGTACGGTACGTAGTAACAGTACTATTAGTTACTAGTCATACGTATCATGAGTCCGAGGAAGGAAGTACCAAAGTACCAGGAGAGGAAGTACGAGTTACTGTAGTACAAGATAGTACGTAGTATGAGGTAATACAACCAATTACGAACTCGCATTTGTACGAGATGAACTACAGGATCTGTAATCCATTTTTTTCACGTTGCCTTGCCTCGCCTCGGTAGTACGGCACGTACGTAGTGTACCATATCGTACCCTATCGTATCATACGGTACTACGAACAGGGGTTATGACTTTACACTTTACTGTATGACCCCTGACTACGAGTACGTACTGTCCGTACGTACCTTAGTCTCTAAGATCGTAAGACCACAGTTCGGGAATGAAATCCCGTGACTAGTAATCCCATTCAACTCAAAAATACGGTACGAGTTGAGTATTCTTGGTGCCATATGGTACGTACTGTATGTACTGTTAGGGTAGCTATGTACCTACTTGTACATTGCACAAGTTCCATCCAAACTAAAGTAATCGTACGTACGTACGAAGTACGGTAAGTACTTCTTAGTCGTACGTGGAATGTACTACTGTCTGCGTTACTCGTACTTGTTCTAGTTCTGTTTTCCTAATCGTTCAATCAGGAAATCCTTCGTTGGAGTATACCGTAGCGCACGTACTATGGACAGCACGTGCTGTTCGCTCGCTTCGTCTGTCAAACTTAAAAAACTAGTAGTAAAAAATACTTGTACTAAACGTACGTACGGTATTGACCGGTACAACAAAGTAGAAAATCACCAACGACAAATCTTCTCTACGGTACATGAACTGTCACCATCAAAAGCTATTCCAGTCGTCGAGTTGTATTCTGACCATTTTTCGAGTGAGAAGAAATACAGCAGCGAAGCCAAAGTGGGACTTAACTGCCACTTGAGTACTTCGATTTGGGTAGTAATACAAAGAATCCGAAGCGAGAGAATTGTTGCAAAGAAAACACTCCGTGAATCTGGTGCTAACGCTATTGAGTGGCGTTGCATTCAAATCAAAGAATCATACGTCTGAGAAACAGAGTCTCGGTCTTGGGCGGAGTGCATTTTTGTCTTTGGTTTCGCTTCCAAACCGAAATTGTCCATTCCCCACGGCAAGTCACATTTTGTTCTATCTTCCCACTTTGGCAGTGCAATCACGACTTGACTGCTGTGTGGATTCGATTCGGCGGTTGGCTTGTTACGGTATCAGTTCTTCCATTAATTAATTCGAACCTTTACGGCCGAGAAAACTGCTATAGGCAAGATGAGTACCGAAAGTTCAAGCAAATGCAACGCAACGAGAATGAATCGCGATCGCATTAATTCCCGCGACATCGTCCGATCCTATAGCGGATTGTTCGGAAGCAATGGCGACATGATGCCCTTTGAACTGGCCCGTAATGCACACACGGATTGGGTAGAAAAGGGAGGATTCTTGTTGCTTGGAACCTACGTCGGTTGCATCTGCCTCTTCCAGATCGTGGTGCTGGCTATTTTTGACTTGTACAACGATGCCGCAATACTCAAACTGCACTGGAGCTGGACGGTCACCAATGCGGTCCATTGCTTGGTCACCACTCTCTACCTTCACTGGCTCAAGGGAAGCGCCTTTGACCAACACGGAGAACTTGCTGCCATGACACTGTGGGAACAGTTGGAGGGACGTTCCCAGATTCTAAACGTCAAGCGGAGCCTGTTTGTCGTTCCCACTATCTTGTGCTATGCGGCCTGCCATTTTTCCAATTATTCCTTTGACGTCTGCGTCACAAACGTCATTTTGTGGATTGTCCAGATGGCGGGGAAACTCCCAATTATGAATGGTGTTCGGATATTTGGCATCAATCGAACGGCGGGGATCGACGATGACTGTGGTGGACACGAGAGCAGTCGCAATGGCATGGTCTCCGCGAGGAGTCGCCGCCGACCGGGAAGCAAACAAGAGTGATGAAGAGAACAAGGCATCGAACCAAATCGGTTGATCCATTACCATATATTTTCCATCCATACAACATACGTGGAACAACATCTGGACAAGATATTATGATGTCCATCCATTCTCTGTCCTTTGTGTATAAACTTGATCGCATCGACTGTCTCATTTTCGTCGGAGTTGCTGTAAAACTTCCGAGGTACTTCATTCGCTTCACGCCAATGAACAAGGCAATGACGTGAGAAGAGTCCAACGGAGGGTGCGGTGCCTATACGGGACTAGTGAGTGTCCGATCCATGTTTGGATGGAGTGGGAATAGTTCCTATGTTTATTTCTTTACGTCAATGGACACAACCTCGTATCATTCACTGATTCTGTTGTGATTTGGGATACAGACTCTCCCTTCAATGGGAACTGAATTGGAGGTGTCAATTTGAATTGATGACACTGGCACCGAGAACCAAAGAAGAGACAATTAGTAGTGAGCTACTGCCATGCAATTCGAAAACAAATATATATTTTGTGTGTGTACGAACACCCCACATGCGTGTACATTGTGTACAGATGTTTTGTGCGACCACCCGAGTCCGACAGGCTATTTGTCATTGTTGTCCAAGCGGAAGCAACGAATTCGTCGTTTTGGACAATGAATAGATAAAAATATTTTTTATCCACAGTGCGATGTGATGACAACTGGTATAGGTTTATTACAAACGTAGGTAACATTCTCAGCGCCTTGTGCGAGCACTATTTCTCTCAAAACAAACAGATCGTGTGCATCAATGCATTTTATAATTCAATTAAGGCCACATTATCGAATACGAAATGTTGAAGCGAACGACTACTATCTTTATCGGAAAATAAGATGTTGAAATATCTCCGAGACGCAATAAAATGTTTTTATGATCATACCTGTGCACACGTCATTAAGAACGATCAATTAGTTACTGTTCAAGAACAGCATAATTCATATTCCTATCACAATTTAATATTTATATTGCTCGTACTACTTGATAGAAAGCATGGTCAATACTTTAAGACTGTCACTATTATTTAGTTAGTACTATTAGAAGTACTACTAGTGACAGTATGCAGCAGGAAATTAACAAATGTCTATTGTGTAGACTAGTACCAATGCAAGGAATTCCCTTTTTGGGGGTAATTTAAATCCACCAGCCAATTTTTTTATCTCGTCTTATCCTTTGTTGAACCGTTAACTTTGTGCTAGTTTGATGAACCAGTTAAGACTAGTACTAGTAGCACTAGTACCATATTGAAGGCTGGAAAAGAATGTCCTGTATTGGTGAACATCTATCATCATCTAATCAGCATGTAGATAAATTTGACAGTAAAGATATGATGTAACCAAAGTGACAACTGGTAAAGATGGATTCATGATTTCCTACTTGCCATATTTATGGGGGTGGTCATGCTTGATTCCTGCTGACTTGATTTGTTACTAGTATTACTACTAGTGATGACCACTGCTGGTATGCTCCTGTCAGATTTTTGTTCCTTCTCTAGTAGTATTACTAGTAGTACTAGCTACTACTATTGTTGGTAATAGTATGAGTATTACTGGTGCTCCCAGCTCTCTTTCTAGCTAGTACCTGCTTTTTGTTACTACTAATGGTAATAGAGATAAAGTAGTAGATCATGACATTATAATATGTGTAGTAGTGGTACTACCTCTACGATGGTGACACCAGTTGCAAGTCAACTGGTGGTTTCACAACAAAAAAGTTCCCTACATTTGTAATTTAATTCAGTCAGAACCCCACTACTAGGTTAGCCAGGACCATCAGTTCTTTGTTGGCAGTAGAATCATACTTCTACTAGTAGTTGCTCCAATAAGGGACAATATACCATTACAGCTGTACTGCTACATCATGAGACTTTGTTAGCATACTACAGTTCCTCATTGAAACTTAATGTTGTAGTAGCTTGACACCAACCATCAAAGGATATGACAAAGAGAACACATTGGACCAAGAATCTGCTCTTAACATACAGTCATCTACTAATTGAAGCAAAGAAGCTTACCCACTACTAGTACAACTTGAGATTAGTATTGAATACAACAGGAGGAACAGAAGAAGGCATTTCTCATCATGTCTGGTTCTGTTGGTGTGGTTTATTGTATAGAGTTGGCAAATAAAAGGTACTTATAAACAGCCACATATATCCTATAATAATTTCCAACACCCCCTACCCCCACATATGACTAGATTCATCTTTTCTTGGCTTTCGATTTGTATGCCTAGTATCACTCTTGTTAGAGGACTATTGGAAACCAAGATATGTGTCTGAGAACATGCATCTATAGTAACAAAAAAAACTTTTTCTTTGCTCATTGAGAGAATGTCTTGATTGGCTCCTCAGGACCTCTAGTAGAATAGGAATCAGACCACTAGTAGTAGAAATTACCACAAGAACAACAGCACCAGACCAGCAAAGTTGCAATAGTAGTACTAGTTCCCATAGAAGAACAGAAGAATCCTCATTTGAATCCTCATTCCTAAGAAGGATCTGACAAGAAAGAAGCAATGATGTCCCAGGTACTAGCCACTAGAGGAAGAGTTCTGCTGGGCTTACCACCAGGAGGCTGCTGCTTGCTGGAAAGATCAACAGTACAGACAATTCTTCTCCTGATCAGACAATTAGTAGTACTGCTAGAGTATGATTACCACATCAAATATTTTCAACAATTGAGATAGTACTAGCACAAAACATTACAATCTTAGCATGTAGCTAAAAAGAATGACTATCTAGTCAAATGCTTGTTGTCATGAGGCTGCTGGTTGTCCATATCTTCAAAAAGAAAGGTTCTATTTCAAATAGATTGAGAGTACATTACTACAGCCTTCATGAGTAATTGGATGATGAAACTGCATGTAGGTCTCTGACTGGTAGTAATAGAGCCACAAAATATCTTCTTTCTTGTGTCCAGTAATTCCATAAAGTTTGTAGTAGATCAATTGCAAGAACTAGTAAGAACACCACGTGGTGTTTCCAGCACAGTTTCCGTGAATCTACTATTTCTGTTGGCCACTAGTACTAATAGTAGAGACAGAGGAAAGAACAAACCATCCCAGGCAACTGAATTCACAACAGTCATTTATTTATGCACAAGTCAAGAAGTTGGTCAAAGCAGCAGGTGTAGATGTAGTACTACTAATAGTACCACCAGCATGAAAGTACAATTCATTTGTAGCTACTACTATATCTGAAAGAATCTGGCCTGGTGACATTACTACTACCAGTAGTGGCCTCCTGCTGATTTCATGATTCATAATTTTATGATCTATTCAACTAGTAGTACTATTATGTGTCTGGTTTCACAATGGTGACCATATGTGTCATAGTAGTATACTAAGTCCCTTTACTTCTTTTTGGTAGCAATGATGCAATCCTCCGTTTTTGAAACTATCTTAATCTTCATGGGTTTGGGCTTTCTATTGTCAATGTTTCTGTTGACTTTTTCCCATCTCTGCCCAAATTGTGCATTTTTGGAATTTCTTGGAATTTCCATGATTTTCACGTGTTTAGACTTTGGTACAAATCCTACACAAAATAAGACTGAAATACCAAAAAAAAGTTTTTACAATTACTTTGTATAAATCAACTTTTCTACTCATTCATTTCTCTCCTCTTAATATGATCCAAACAAGAAAGTAAAACACTCCAAACAGAATATAAATTATCACCCAAAACATCATATTTGGCAATTGCTCACAGTACCACCAGTTTATGCAAACCTATCTGACGACAACAGCAGTGGTGGTGGCCTGCACCCTCACAGTAGGAGCCCCTCCCAAGATTACAGCAGTCTTTCCAGCAGTGGTGATACTACTAGTAACAGTTCTCTTGGAAGTCTTTCTGATGCTACTGGGGCCCACAATGCTCCCTTCCACAACAAAATTCAAGAACTCCTTGACTGTAACCTCTCTGATCCATCTGATCTGGAACAGGATAAATTGGAACATTTTCTCCAGGACTCCTCAATTCTCATGAGTCCCACTAAATTCCTCCTGCTGGTACACACATTATGTCTTTAGACGGTGACAAAGAAACACACAGCAATGACAATGAAGAAGAATGCAACAACAACAAGAATGGTGTCACTCAGCACCAATATCCTTGTGTCAGAAATATTGTGCAACTCTTTGAACAACTACAAGACACCAGTACTAATCCAAGTACACCCAAGAGGAGGAGGAGATCAGCTAGTATGCCTAGGATTACTACTACTAGTACCACTGCTGGAAGTATCCTTCATTATTATCTCCAACAAGGAAGGGTTGTGTGGGTTTCATATGAGGATGTTGAGACTGGTAGTACTAACAGTCAAATGCTCTCAACAAAGCTTACATTGGTAGCATGCTAGCACGGTAGCATGGTGGCATGGTGGCATGGAATGGCAAGAAGTTGTTGGGTGATGATGCAGAGAAGTGGTTTTTGCCAAGTAGTATACATCACCATCACTTGGATGAGGCGCAACCCCAGATTCCACCTGTACTGTAAGGAATATACTATTGGATGGCTGCACCATTGAGATGAGAGAATTCTTGGACCATTTTGACAAAAGAATCCTTCAGCTGATAGCAAATGAGTCCAACTGGTATGCATTTGACGATTGCTGCTGGGTGACAGAAGCTGAAGCTAGTACTACCAATGCTAATAAACAGGTAAAGAAGACAAAGATCCTCAAGCTCTGTCGTGATGTTGCCAATGATGGATGCGTTATGTCACACCAGAGTCAATAACTGGACCAAGTAAATCTAACTATGTTGTACAGGCCACTATACTATGGAGGGACAAAAGGGTGGTTGGATGGTTACATACTGTCCATGTTACTGGTAAGCAAGTAGACAATACACAGAGAAGAAGATCTAAAGCGGAAATAATAGCAAAGAAATTTGATGCTCCACAGGTACAGAAGACATATTCCACAAGGTTCACCAATGGTGTTGACATCTCAGAAAAGGATAGTGCAAATCATTCTACATCACTTCAAACAAATAGATGGTACCTTCCTATTTTCTTCTGGTTGCTTGATAGAGTACTAGTACAATCCTGCTACATGATTGCCACTACTAGCCTTGCACGTGACAAGTTTATAAAGGAATGGAAGATATACTACAAATCAAAACACAAGAATGGTAAGAAAAATTTTCAATCTCATCTTGGCATAGTATTTATGAGCAGAGGTATTGAAATGGACTGAAAATAATGAATGTTCTAAGCCAGAGTGGACACCAAAGACTTCTTCAAAGAATGGAAAATGCCACCTTTATGATTGTGGGATTTGTTTCTTCTGTGTGAACAAATTACTAGCACCACCATTGCTCATGGAAAGGTAACTTCAAAGCCTCAGAAAGAAAGATGCACCAGTGGACAAAAGTACAAAGGAGTGAAGAGGAACTATTGTGTTGTCTGTGTAGGAGAAACAAAACATAGGTATCCTAACTCATCAATGATGAGATTGAGGAAGTTGCCAGGGATTGATTACTAGTAGTCTAGTAGTACTACTAGTAGCTAGTAGTATGAAATGTCAAGGAATGGTTGGAGAAGTTGTAATGTTGCTGTATGCAAAGAGCATTGGAGTAACTTCAACCATCAGGTGCAGTGATGTGTTTTATAGTATGATTATTTACATTTATTAAAATATCCTTGTAATATATTTCAGTGATCATAGGGATGTAAGAAGTACAGTACAAATAATGCATTAGTAGCAAAGAAAGATTTTTTTCTAAATTTTCCGGCTGGCAATATTTGGCAACACGCCACATGAAAGAGTTAACATTCAGGGAATGAAAGCAATTAGAGTAGTGTTCCTCCTAAACTATTTTCATTTGTTTTTCTTCATTGACAAGAAGGTTGGTCTGCCAACCCTTGCAGTGACTACTGGACGCCATGCAAACACATTAATTTGGAACGTTAGTATGCAGCAGATGTCACGAGAAAAAAAAGATCTTTGATATATTCATACGATTAATTACGTTTTCGGCGCTCTATATTTATATAGTATGTGTAAAAATAATAAAAGCGGCACGGTTGTGTTTGATCATCAACAATCAATGATCAGGATATTCGATATTCCAAACATCATACGGTACATGTTCATCTTCAATAATCACGAACATTATTGATTTCGTCCGCAAGTTGTCCCTAATGGTTCAAAGAGCTGCATCGAAACAAGCAGTAAGTGATTTTCCTGAGTAAAATTATCGTCGGAGAGTCCGATCGATCGATTGATCCCTCAAGCGAACTTCTTCACAACAGGAAGGATTGATTCTTCTAGATCAAGCTCAGCGGAATCTGTTGCGTTGATAAAAATACCAACTCCGTTCAGAGCAGCTTTGATAGACTCCTTAGAGGAGGAGTAAATCATTTTGTCTCTAATTTTTCCGCTATCAGGGTTCCACGAAATGAAAATGAGCTTCGAGGTAGGGCGTCCGTCCTTTGTCTCAAACTCAAGATCGATCACACCGTATCTAGGCTCGTTTTCTGGAAAGGCACTGCAAAAGTCGTCATAGGTTGATTCCTTCGGGCCGACCACATCGATTTTGATAATTTTCTTATCCTCGATTTTGTAAGTGTAGAACCGTAATTTTTTTTGGATCTTGAACTCCTCGAACAATTTAGGAATTTCGTCGTCGACTTGGACACCACTTGACTGATAATTCAGAGTCAATTTGATCAATTTGATGAATAATGAACACATAATAGGTGGAATTCGAGGACACGAGAGTGAGTAAAAGAGGGGAAACACAAGTAGCGAACGTGACCACTGAATTCTATTTATGGCTTCCTCCAATTTTATGTTATGTCACATTGCGTAGCATCGACTAATCCTATGATTGAGGACTACTTTTTGGCAGATTCTGTACCTCGGTTGAACGTTATCGTGTATAATTTCATATTATCGTTTCGAACGCCATTGGTTGTTGCCGTGACAAACATTTGAACAGACGCCGAATCCGTCAGTCGGTCGCCGTTAGATCAAACTGCTTGAAACCCGAGAGATCATTCCAAATCATCAGTCCATTTCTATCAGAGGTCTGATTGTATTTTTGTCTAGTGTCAACCTACCATTTTGTTGTTTGTTTTGATGTATTATCGAGATAGAAAGGCTTCTTCAAGCAAATGAATAATATGTGTGCCTTATCGAATACGGTCTTTTGCCCTCCTCTCGTTGGGTTTGTGATAACCGTTGCTATCAGCCTGTCGCAGTCTATGCAGGGAGTGCTGTTGAAATGCGCATAGCTTGCCATCGCTGCACGGTAAATTTTTAAATCGCACGCCGAAGCGGCATCACTGTACGCACCGGGTACGGTAGAAGATCGTGATGTCGTAATGTTGTGACCTTTGAATGACCCTGGTCGACCCCTACGATCTCTCGAGCGGGGCTTGCCTCGCGCATACCACACCAGAATTCGAATCCCACGAGATCTTTTGAAAAATTCGGGTCTTGGAAAGAGAAGGACTGTTTCTGTTCGCGACGATCAAAACCAAGTTACCTCCTTACTATTCAGATCGATCGCGGTGAGCTTTCTAGACGAAAAGTAAAAGCCTCTTTCCTCCCGTACCACATGGAACCGTAGGACGACGGCACGACAAGACCATCACGCTGCACCCGCGAAGCACCGAACATAATCGAACAGAATTAATTGAGATTCACCATGGCGATCACGAATCTATCTGAAATTACCGACGCCCAAAAGGAGGAGCTTGTTGCCTCTCTGGCATGCCTTGTCATTGGCGAAGGTGAATTGACTTCCGAGTCTGTGCAAGCAGTTGCCACTGCCTCCGGAAACAGCGTTTCGGACTCTTTGGCTGCCCTCTTCGCTACCGTTGTTGGAAACTCCAAGGATGGCATGAAGACATTCACACCTCCACCAGGCGGTGGCGGCGGCGGCGGGTACGTTTCATGGCTAAATAGGAAAAGAGATGCCATTTTTCGACTTTTGCATGATTTCGATAGCTTTTGAGTTTCGGACATGTTTTCTCACTCCATCGCCTTTTTTCTTTCATCTAATTTTACTATCGTCGTTTACAACCATATTACTTTATACACAGCGGCGGCGGCGGCGGTGCAGCAGCTGCTGAAGAAGTCGTAGAAGAAGAGGAGGAAGAGGAAGAAGCCGAGGCACCTGCCGGAGGTGGTGGTCTCTTCGGAGATGATGGTGATGGTGATTATTAAACAATAGATAGGGAAGTCTCGTCACCGAAACCGCTAGATCAAACAAAACAAACAAGAAGTCATTTATAGTTATGAAATGCATTCCAAAACCCCCAAACAATCCACATTTCAGTCTGGAGACCGGAAGATCTATCGTTTGAATATGTATCATAGAGAGAAAACATCAGACGCAGATCTGAAGTATTATGTTTTGATGGAAGTAGTGCGACTAAACAATCGTGGAAAAGCAGTCTAAGCTTATTTAGGCGTACCACCTAGTCCTTGAGATGAATGGTGGCAGCGTCAGGACTGTGTAGTTTTCGTCCCCATTGAAGTTGGATATTTAGTCACTTGTTGTTGTATATTTTGCAGTTGTAATTGGCATCTTCACAGTTTGGTTCAGGTTTTTTTTGACCCCGTTGAGATCGAATGCCTGACGACATTTTCTCGATGGCAAGCACAAGTCTCTCTGTTCGTACATCTTTCTTAACCAGAACACATCGTACCATCCTGGCATGATGAGCGGTTGTCGTGGTAAGAGCAGAATCAGTAATGAAAGCATACGTCTATGGATTGCATCGATGTTCATAGTGGAATCACGTGGTAGTAGCCTGTTGCGTAACTTCGTCTCCGTCATCATATTGCTTGAAATGATATGTTTGTCAGTGAAGCTCTTTACATTGAAAGTCTGGTTTTGCCAACGAAATCGAAACAGTACAAAAGACTAAGACAACCGAATTCACTGTACAAATTCACATCGACTACAGTTTCTCTCTCTGGAAAAAAGAAGATGAGTTACTAGTACATTTTATTTCCGCCCGCCCCTCTTGCCAAGTCGCTGTAGGCTTGTGCCTTTGCGGCACTGTTCCCACTTCCCTTGCCGTACAACTCTTCCAGCTCGGCCTGTTCTGCTTGCACAGCCATCTGCTGCGAATATTCTTCGAAACTCACATATCCGTCTCCGTCGTGATCGAAATCCTCGAATTTTGGGTAATCCTTCTCCGTCAGTCCGGGATAGTTGCTTAGGTAGTCCTTCACGTACATGTTGAATTCTGCCCGGCTGATTCGATCGTCGCTGTCCAAATCAGGCTGTTTGAATTCATCGTAATCCCGTTGCAGGGCTTCAAGCTCGGCCTTGGCCTCGGTAGATTTCACCAACGCAGTTAGTTCTTCGATTTGTTCCTGCAATAAGTTGTTTTGATCTCCGAGTTTGTAGACATCGTTGTAATATTGGCTGTAAAGCTTCTTTTGTTCACTCTTGTGTTTGCGTTTCAACTCCTTTACGGCACGTCCACTATGAAACCGTGCCCCCATAATCCACGAGGCAATACCAGTGGCGACTAGCTTTCCTACCCCGCCGCCACCAGTCGCTGGTGAACTACGAACGTGTGCGAAAGAAAGAGGATTGAGTGAGTTTCTTATTACATTGTTCAACAGAAACGAAGCAATAAGGAGCGTGATGTATGACTTGGCCCAATCTGAACTGTCTCCCTGAAATACTATCTTTTTAAATCTGCAACTCGGCAGCAACATCAGCAGCGAGCCACATCGTTTCCTGCTGTCCACCACCGGTTCATTCACAATCCAGCGAAGGACTCGCCAACACATCAAAAATTAACGTACTTCTTTCGTTCGTCTCGCTCGGCGTAATCGTAATACAGACTGTCCTCTTGTGCATAGTCGTTGTTGTTGTAGTCCTGGTATTCTGCGTAGTCTCCGTAGTCGTCGTTGTAGCCACCCTGATCTTGGGCTTGAACGAGCGAAAGGGCTACGATGGTGGCGATAAAAGACGCCAAATAAAATCGAGCCATTTTAATGTGGCCTTCTTTCAATTGTATTTAGTATCTGATTGGTGCCAAGTTTTCGATGCAAAGAATGTACTTCGACCTATGTATTGTTTGTTGCAAATGAGATACTTGTACTTTCTTCGGATGCAAATTGTCTTTGCCAAGAAACGGTCCTCGAATCTGATCTTTGCAAAGCGTGCTGTTTATCGTGAAGAATCTGCGGATCCTTTACAGATAAGTTGGAGAACAAAGCTAGTGTGGTGTTGCGCCATTCAAATAGTATGGCTCAGCAATATCCCGATCTTCAATTTTCATTCGATTTGATTCAGTTTTCGATGGATAAACATTTCGATCGCTGATCGGTGGATCGTAGTTGCGATCAAAATTGAGGTGCGCAGATTGAGAACTCTGTTACAGTACGGTTCCTACATGTACCCGCTCGTACAAAGTCCTTGAAACCATTGACGACACGTGTAGAAAATCCATACGGAATGAGATTCTCGTAGGCTCCGAAGTCGATGAGGGGAACAAATAAACACTCTCATCCTTAAAAGCACCCCCCGTTTGCAATGTCCAAATAATTCCTCCTTCGCGGGAAAAATCGAAGAAATGCGCGCCCAAAGAAACCGAGATGAGATCATCTTTCCCTTCCGGGCGGCAGTACTAATGCGAAGTAGTATCCAACGATGAGTTACTGTACTGGGAAAACCCTTTTAAATGTCGTCCGTTAAGTCACCCCTCCGGTATTGTACGGGGGCGGAACGGCAATGCACAAAAAAATTACAGTATTTCGAGGTCAGGAGTTTTCGTACTATGTAACGTACAGTAAAAATCCCACAGTAAGGAGGTGGAGTCAGTCGTCTTTGGAACATACCATTGGACATTACTGTATGGTTTATGGTACGGTACGTACGGAACGGTGGCATTCGTATCCAAACTACTTCTACTCACTAGATGTTCGACACCCTAGAGCAATAACAACAAGAAGAACGAGTATCGGTATTTATTACGGTACTGATTGTCCCGCATTTCACAAAACACAAGTTGCAACCACAAGGCAGGACTCTCATTTACTTTCACCGCCTTTATTTAGCGAGAGTGGTTCGTTACTATTTCTTTCTTTGGTTTTCCTCTATCGCTTGCGAAAGAGAGAACTCATCGTTGCTCGAGGCGAGTTTATTTATGCATTGAGGGAAGACATTCTCAGAAGAGATCGTTATCGGCCGGAAGCACTTTTCTTTTGTTGACAAGGAACGCATTTTCATTGATTGGCCTTGAATCTAAAACTATAATTTAAAATGCCGCCGCCGCTGCCACCTTCTTCCTTAGCAGCAAGACGAAGAAGCCGCATGAGTGGCACCCAAACATCACACACCGATGAAAGAAACAGCGCTTCCAATGGCGGCGATGGAAATGACGCCACTAATCGGTCCGCGAATAGATGGCATCGAGAGGATGAGTCTCAAACCTCCAGTACGAGCAGCCGTTACGCACGACGGATCTCGTCCTCCTCTGCACCAACCGGGTCCTCGACAGCAAGTCGAACGCACAGGAGATCGAACAGTAACGAGGAAATTGAACGTATCAGAGAAATGAGAGCCCGGCGAAAGAGAGCGCAACAGGAAGGCGGGGACTTGCAAAACGAACAAACCGAGGGAAGCGCTGCACTTGTCAGTAGACACCATCGACGAGCGTCTGCTCCGATTTCTAGGAAATATGGGGATGATTCGGGTTTGGGACGTAAGGGTCGGCGTCGTCATCATAACTTCATGACAGAAGACGGAACAGACGAATCCAGTGTCAGCACTCAAACAACAACGGCATCAACAGCGGCTTCTTCTGATGATACGTCGATACGCAGCGAGATCGAAGCACGCCTAGCAGCAAGACGTAGCAAACGGAAGAGTGCGATCGAGAACGGCCAATTATTGACGGACGTTCCAGAAGGGAGCAGCTCAAATAGAGGACATAGACATACCCGGAGCTCGATTGACGCAGCAGATTTACGAGCTAGTCGAAACGTTCCGCCTCGTAGTATATCATCGGGTGCACTGCGGCGACAGATGGCAACAACCTACGAAGAAGCGAAAGGAATAACAAGAGAAAATCGTGTGAGTAGGACGAAGAGTACTGACCGAGGATTGCTTCAAACTCGAATCAGTAATAGTGACGCCGAGAAAGATTCGAGAGTTCCTACTATAATAGAGCCTTACGAGTCGCGCGGGAGCAGAAAATTTAAACCAAAGCTACAACCACGAAGTTCTTCGAACGACATTAGTGAGCGGTTAAGGGAACGGCGGGAAGCTAGAGAAAGGGAGCGAAAAGAACGGGAGAAAAAATATGACTTGAAAGATTTGTCGCTGTCTACAGGATCAGAATCAACGCAGAGCAATAGAGTTGGCAATGCCGTTGAACATACTAGAGTCGACACAACAAAGAGACCGACGAATCATTCTGAAATGAACATTGCGGAGGATTTGAAACATGATGAGAGTGATACAGGCAACAGCTCGAGTGTTCGACTATGCATTATTTCTATCAGTGATTTACCAGCAAGTGTTGTCTCGAATATTCCATTATGTCCAGTTCTCAAAATGGGCTTAGTTGAATTGCCTGCAGGCGTGTACAAGGATGGCGGAACGAAGTCGGTGACATCCACAACGACGAAATACCTGTTCGATCAGGGTATTCAAGCGATGGGATCGGCAAAGATACGATCGACAACTCCAAAAATATTAGGCAAACGTGATAGCGGAACAATAGAATACCACGAAGAGTATCGATGGGACAATTTGAAACAACCTCAGACGATGGGTCTATGTATAGAACTATGTGTCCAAGGAGTTCGCACGCCATTGAATTACATGGAGTCCCCCCCTGCCGTTTTTCAATATGATGCATATGCATCGCCTTCAGGTGACACGTTGGATTCCGCTGAAACATCTCTTGGATCTTCGCCAAAACTTCATCAAGCGCCAATACGTCGTGCGCCTCCATCTCGAACAAAGTCTTTCGATGCATTGAGAATTGGCATCTGGAACCGAAGCAGGACACAGCAGGACACAGAAATGGAAGCTGCTGAGGCTGCTGCAGCTGTTGCACGGATGTTGGTCGATGAAAGTGAACCAGAATCAAATGATATGGAACAGGGACAATCGTCTATGAAAATATCCGAAACACCGAACTCTGATTATGACGTAACTCTGGATTGCTCTAATGGCCATTTAAATGTTGGCCTGACATCGGATTCGAAACTGGGTGTTGTGGTGATCCCTTTGGCACAGCTAGCACTAGACAAGGATATGAAAAAGGGCAAGAATATGCGTTTAGAGCAATGGTATGAATTGGATACAGGGGAAGAATCAAATGATGTCTCAAGTAGACGAAAGAAACCCCGTGTCTTTCTTGAAATCACTTTATCCTCACCTACTTCTCTAGACGATAGCGAAGACGAGGATGGTGTTTATGACGAAGACGAAGAGCCATTAAAGTCGTCTTTGTACCAAAATGCATCTTTTTTGCGCAGAGCAAGTATTAAAGCTCGATGTCAAAACGGCGAACACAAGGGGAAAAAAGAAGAAAGAAAAATTGAGGACCCTATTCTCGAACCAGGAGTCATCGATTTCGTCGCTGTTGTTGGTTGCAAGAACATCGGAAACCAGAAGAATGATGAAGGCATGAAGGGCTGGGTCAAAGCCACTCCAGAGTGTGTGATCATGGAACAATTCCCTCCGAACAACGAATTTTATATGAACTCAGGGCGTAAAGCTGCCTTACCAGAAATGCTCCAGTGGTTTTGTTTTCCAGAGGGTGCTCGGCTTTGGAGAGGTACAAATCCTCCAACTCACTCTGATCTCAATCTCAAGAGGTTTTCAGCTGCATCACCTCAAAACTTAGCGTCGTCGATAGCTGCTTTTGATGCCTGTCTTGGCTGTACGACTTCATTTTCATGGTTTGCAATTGCTTCGAATTCAGATCAATACGGTTCTAGTCTAGTGAAGACTTATGGAGCAGTTATAAGGTTTTATGTACCTGCTCCGACAGGTATTGATCCAACACAAGATGATTTCGCGCAAGCAATCATGGGGAGGAAAGCTGACATACCACCTCCAGGAGCAGTGAAACGACTCTGGGTGCCCATAGCGATTTGTTTTACTTCTAATCTTCCGATTGTTGGTATAATGGAGGCACTTCTACTTCGACTTTGTGAAGAAATTTCAACGATACATAGTGGCCTTCAGTCTGGGAAGCTGGTTCAAATTCAGGAAGCCGTTGCGAACATAGTGTTAAAGTACCAAAAACCAATTGCAGGGGCTGTCAATTGTTCGGTTCCTTTCTTACCGGGAGACAGATTTCTACTGTCGCTGCCGCCGCGTGAAGGACTTCCAAGTCTACCTCATGGGCGGGCTCTAATATCGGTTTGTCGATTGCTTGGTGCAGATGGATTGAATTATCTCCTTTCTGCTGTACTTACCGAATGCAAAATATTGTTGCATTCAGAAGACATCGCTGAGATTGCCATGGTAGCTGAAGTTATTACTGCTCTTACTTATCCTTTCGCATGGTCTCTACCGTACATCCCTATACTCCCTCTCGGGATGATCGAATTTGTGGAGGCTCCACTAGCATATCTATTAGGTATGCCTACTTGTAACTTGAAAATGATTGATCCTGGAGCGTTGGAGGATACGGTAGTAGTTGATTTGAACAAGGCATTTTCTTCTGAAGAGTACTATCTGGAGAAATCAAAACCGAGAACAGCCAGTAATAAACATCCCGCTCTGCTGCCAACATCAGTCGCAACAAAAATATCCGACGCGTTTTACAAATTATTACGTGAAGAAGACGAGATGGAAGAACGCTACAGTGGAACCGAATTTTTAGAACACAGCTTACCTCATCTTGAAGAAGAAAGTCTTGCTGAGAGAGAATTCAGAGTTACTGTTGCCATTGAGATATGCGGTTTGTTGAGAGGGTATCAAGATTGTATGGGAGCAGTTTTTGATCGAGATAAATTTCTCAAGAGCTCACCCGCCTTGTATGAAGAGAAGAGTGAGTATAAATTTGTTGGGGAAGGTTCAGGTATTCGGAACGAAGTTTTGAAAACGAAAGTTATGTCATCACGGTCGAAACGATTCCTATCATCGCTAGTAAGTGGGCAAAACTTCCAACAATTATTAGAGCGCTTGGATAGTGACGATGCATTATTCTTCCACGAAATCTTAAAGGTAATCGGTGAATCTGCTTCGGATAGAATGCCTCCGAAGAGAACTTCTTCTGGCGATTTTGGATTGAGTCAAACAGAGAAAAATGTTGATTCTTTGATCAAATCGTTGCAGAAAGTCGAAGACAAAATTCCCACCTTTTTGGTCAAAGTGGGAGGTGGTCTTGACACTGGAGATGACGAAGACGATATCCCATCATCGTTAATGTGGACCGAGAATGAGTCTCATCAGTTTGATGCATTGGACCATGACACGCATATTATGAACATCGAAGATCAAGACACATCGACTTTTTCATCGAACTTGTTATCGTCTATAAAGATTGAATCGGCATCGAAGATTTCGGAATCAAGTATGCAAGCTGTATCAATGGAATATTTGGCCAAACTGGAAACGACCCCATGGGAATACAACAATTTTTTAAATATTTCAACGGAAGACATGAATACACAGGACAAGATTAAGCTTCGAGATGCAATCGGGGAGAGAAGATTTCGGAGTTGGAAGTTAGCTCGGTCGAAGACTTCGAATAGTGACGAAGATATGGGGTTCTTTTCTCAAAGTACGAGAGAATCTGCGAAGCAAGAATCTGCTGTTGATTTGACAGCTCTTGTGACTTCCGCCAAAAACGATTCCACTGATTCATCTTCCTTATCATCTACTTCGAATCAATCTAGAATGCCATCTCAGACCCCAGCACAAGAACGTATTGCCGCAGCAAAGAGTAGAGATATAATTCGTCGCTGTATGGACAGAGCCAATACTGATCAGATCTCTAAATCTGATCAAATCAATCCATTCATAGAAAATGGTCGAGACCTTATGGCAGAGGCAGAGAAGGCTTTACGGAATCCATCCGCTCAGCTGTTTCTTATATCTATTTTAGCGCAGAGATCTCGACTAGAAAATAAAAGATCGAGAACAGCACGGCATCATTCCACTGCACAAAATCCTGCATCTCGCCTTGACGACGTTGCTTTCGATTGCCTTGTTCGATTGAGTTGCGCAATGCTAGATTCTTGCATGGAATACAAAGAATACGAAATGGCATATCGTTTGCTTACAAACTCCGCTGGTTTCATCATGGTTCAAGAATTGGATAATTACGGCGAATACGTTGCAGACGAATATGGTAATGGTCAGTCATTGATAGTCATCACGATGACATCAAGAATCGGCTTGCATCCAATTTTTGCAGATATAAGAGTTTGGGAGACAGTCATGACGTTGCACCTTCGTGATCGGGAAACAGTAAAAAAATCTGATGAATTTAGTTCGTATAGTGCTGGTAGTGACTATGAAGAAGAAGAGGAAGTAGTATACGATTCCGCTGTTGCAACGTTGTATGAAATGGTTGGTTATGGTATTCCTGGCGAGGAGCTTTCACGTTTCGCGATGCGGGTTAGCCAAGAACATGGTTGGTTTTGTGATGATCGCGGGAGGCAGCTCCTTATGCTTGCGCGGAGGATAAGTATTCGCCGAGACCAAGCCGATATGAGCGGGGCGGGCAATACGGGCGACATAGACATGGTTCGAAAAGGGCCTGACCTTAATGAAGCATTCGCAACCTTTCCTGAAGGAGGGGATAGTACGGAAAGACCAGATTTTGTTTGGAAAGAGGTTGGATGGTGTCACCCTGCAGCTCCCTCGCGTAAAAATTTGATGAGACTCGATCGTAACAGGAAACAATTGCCGATTGACAAATTCATGAAGAGGAATCCTGTAACAGCGCTGGCATCATTCGGCTCAACTATGGTGGCAAGTGGAGGACTTGACGGAGGTGTTTTTCTAGCTCACTTATTATCAGATCATTCTCTAACCTCTACTGCAAATACTGAAGATCTTCCCGAGGTCCGAGGAATCCACTTGGACTGGGGAGTTACTAGTCGCCCAGGATCGTCGTCAGACGGAGAATACGGTGTTGGAGCAGTTAGCTGTTTGGCAGCAATCTATGGTGACACTTCGCATACACACAGTGTGGGTTTCTCGAAAGATGTGAAGGACCCGACTAATGGCGTCGATATACTTGACTCTATGGAGGGAAGCAAAATCGTTGCCGGTACAACAGCTGGTGATTTGAGAGTCTGGTCAGTGAAGGATGTGTATTCATCAATTGTAACGACGAAGAATGACTCCGAACTTACAAGTGGCCATGGTGCGTCAAGATTGAAATATTCGCTTCGAGGAAGGGCGTTAGCGGGACACCGTGGAGGAGTTACTTGCATCGATGTTCCATCCCAAGTATATCGTCCGGATTCTTTTGTCACCGGAGGTGCAGATGGTTCGATTAAGCTTTGGAATTTGCGGGCTCCTACAGGGAATCGACGGAATAATAACTCCGGCTCCAATGGTTATGATTCAAATGATGGGTCAGGCCAACATCAGCGTGGACGGATGGGAGATGCACTCAATACATTAAGCGGCCATGATGGTCGTGTTCTCTCGATAACAACAGCATGGCATGGCGACCATCTATTGAGTGGGGGAGCTGATCGGTCCATTCGCGTTTGGGATCTTGGTTCGAGCGGTGGCAAATGTTTACACAAATTGTTTGGTCACTTTGGTTGGGTCACAAACGTGCAATATTGGGGACCAAATACGATAGTTTCCGCTTCGACAGATCGATCCGTGGCACTATGGGATGCACGAGTTCGAAGTTCTCCTCTTTTTATCCTTCGAAATCACTCATCTCCTATATCAGATCTTTTGGTCGGTTCCAGAACTGACCCTTACATGGTGAGTGCTGCCGCAGATGGGACAATTGCTACTTGGGATTTTAGGTCCCTATCGGAGACGACAAATACCGAAGAACGAGGGAAATGTAACAAGGGATGCAAGATTATAAGAATGCCATCTGCGTCGATGCATCAGACTACGACCAGAAAGAAAGTTGCTGTAGGGTCCATCCATTTGGCAAGAGATGTCACGGATCCGATGAACTCGTTCATGAGCGTCGGGTCTGATGCTATACTGAGAAAATGGAATATTGCCTCAGGAAACATGTTGGAGGAATCGCCTACTGGGCACTGCGACAGAATTACGTGTTTTAGTTCCTTTTCACAGAACCATGGATTTGGAACAAAACCGGCCAATATTATCAACTCAACAGTGGAAGATGGCATCGATGCTCAGGATAAAGGGTTTTTGACAACCTCTTTGGATGGCACAATTCGAATGCGCAAATTGATTGGAAAGAGTGACTGTTGAAGAACGAACATTGGTCTAGTTCCAAACTCTTTTGTTGGTTAAAATAAAAATGACAGGCAAAACTTGTGATAGATATTGATTAAAATAATGGGATTTAGACAACAATGACTTCTATTTTGGTCTCTGGGATAATGCTATGGGCAATTCGATCCAAACTTGGTTTTTCTTTGAACATGACCGAATTATATAATATTTCCCAACCCAGACTGCTTCATCAGTTTCCGTTTGTTCTACTAGTAGCAGATCTTGAACGATTCGCCATGGCATCCAACGGCAAAAAACGAGCCACTACTGAAGACCGAACACACGGAATTCTATCGTTAGCAAATGTAGAATTCAATGCATAAGAAGCGCCAGAGCATTGCACCATTTAGTAATTTTTGGAAGTAGAAATAATGAGAGGAAAATGAGAATCAAGTTTACCGTCAAACCACGTATTGCTTTCCAATCACCCAAAATTTATACCTAACAAGAGACTCCTCACGAATGACTTACTAAGGAAAGGAGACTAAAGACACAATTACAGGACATAACAGAGAAGAAACCATTGACTGTCAAGAGGGAAAATGCGGTGTTCACGGCCAATAAAGAGAACAACCCGTTGATGGCATAGGCGGAAAAGAATCCATTTCTGCATGATTTCGCCTTGTAGTTGTACCATGAACCACACTTTTTGCCGCCTTCGGATCGAGTGCACCACCCATCGGTGCTGTAAATTGCGTCGCAGGGAGGTACAGTAGGTTCACAAGATCCACAGGCAGGAGTTTCTACAACTTTGTCATTCTCGATATCAGTCGTCATGTTAGTGAATGGATCTATTTCTAGTTGGATAAAATGAAGATTGATTCATTCCATCAATCTATTTCGCTCTGTACCGCTGTTTCGTACTCACGATTTGAATCGCGATGCTATGAAATACTGTAGGGTACCCGTACTCAAGATTTGAATCGTGATACTACACAAAAACAAGGTTCGCATTTTTTTTTGTTTTTTGTACCTCGGGCGCGATGAAAAACAGAGAGCTGTTATTCACTGAATTCTAAACTGATGCACGACTCGAATTCGACTCTCTTTCATTGCAAGATGCACACATGGTCGTCGGAAACGCGGATTTTCACTGCGCTTGCGCACAAAAAGTTTGGCATGCAACAAAAAAATACAGTAGATGGTTACGTATCTACGTATTTTAGTTTTGTGTACGTACGTACCGGGGTCTAAATTAGACCCATGGTAATTCTGATGTGCTGACGTAAGTGGATCAAAAAGAGGAAACCAAAGTTTCTACAGTAAAAAATAGAGGTGCGAAATTCAATTTTCCTGTTCTCCATCGTCTTTTTTTGGGCCTGTCGGTTCTTCCCGATCTTCCAACCGGCGGCGACCCTTTCCGAAAAACTAAATTGCTCGAGGAATCCTCAGGTCCAAAGCGTCTCCCGACCGTAGCAGCCACACTTCGCAGAACCATGAATTTCTCGACCGCCGCTCGTAGACTCCTACTCAGCTCGCCGGTGTTGGCAGCGACCACCAACGTCGCGGCCTTCACTAGTCGCATTCCTCTTCCTTCGGCGGCACGGGCCTTGTCGTCTTCGAGCACTTCCCTCAACATGGCGAATGTATTGAAACTGAGCGACCCTCAATCGCAGCTTTTGGATAATGTCGACGTCTTTATTTTTGATTGCGATGGAGTTATATGGAGGGTGGGTACAAAATGCAGTTGATTTTGGGTTTTGTCTCTGAAGATAGTTCATCCTTTTTACCTCCGCTCTTTCTCACATTTTCCAACTATTTTGGTCCCGCCGCGTTGACTTGGTTGTTGTACTTGGTGACACCACGATGAAATTGTGACAAATTGAATGTCAGGGCGACTCGTTGATTGACGGAATCCCCGAAACCCTGGCCAAGCTTCGTGCTGCTGGCAAGAAGATGTTTTTTGTTACCAACAACTCGACGAAATCCAGAGCGGGATACAAAAAGAAATTCGATGGGTTGGGTTTGACTGAAATTCCTGCKGAAGAAATCTTTTCGTCAAGCTTTGCCGCGGCTGCCTACCTGGAGCAATCAAAGTTTCCGACCGATGGGAGCAAAAAGGTCTACATTATCGGGGAGGTAGGAATTGGCGAAGAGCTTGATTTGATTGGAATTCCTCACTTGGGCGGACCAGCCGACAGTGAGAAAGCTCCTGATATGGGTCCCGGTGGCCGATTGGAAGTTGACCCAGATGTTGGTAAGTACTATGTTTGCATCCCGCACTGTAGTGAAGAAAATATGAGGGTGGGAGGGGTGGCGGCGCCAGAACGAAGACAATGCCGTAGCACTTTGTGACACTGGATTTCACCACTTTCCTCGTTTCCTTTCATACCCCTGTATTGGTTTGTCTGAAAAATGCGGTTAATATTGAATAATTTCAGGAGCTGTCATTGTTGGCTTCGACAGGAATGTTAATTACTACAAAATTCAATACGCACAGCTCTGCATCAACGAGGGCGGCGCTGAATTTATTGCCACAAATCTGGATGCTGTAACGCATTTGACTGATGCTCAAGAGTGGGCCGGAAATGGCAGCATGGTTGGTGCCATCAAAGGATGTACTGGACAGGAACCAACGTTGGTAGGGAAACCAAGCCCACTGATGATTGATTACTTGGAATCGAAGTACGGCGTTGAACGAAATCGCATATGTATGGTCGGGGATCGACTCGATACTGATGTTTTGTTTGGAACAGAAAATGGTCTCCAAAGTTTGTTGGTGTTGAGTGGTGTAACATCGGAGGAGAAACTGTTAGGGCCAGACAATACTATCACACCCGATTATTATGCCGATGACATCAATGCATTCTTTCAGACAGAAAGCGAGCCTTCACTGACCAAATAAAAACAAAAGAATCGAAACTTGCTTTTATTGACATGAAGGAGTCATCATTGCGGAACACACAGAGTTTTGGATAAAGAGACGAGCATTTCCTCTTTAAAATTACATTTGAATTTTCTGAGAAAATGGTTAATGATGCTTCAAGCAGCCATTATGTAGTGGGTTGGGTAAATTTCATATTCTGGACACTCCTTATATCACTGTGTAAAGAATCCATAACTTTTAAAGTTTTTACAATTTCCTGCTGACTGGAATTCCCATTTTTGGGCACATCATAAAAAAGTTCCAAAATTGATCGTTAGCTGCCCGTCTTGTGCGCTTTTCTCAGACCGTCCGGGTCTAGAAGCACTTGAACGAGTAGTGTGGCCATTAGGGGGTACCTCCGGGCCATGTGGAGATCGCAAATTTCCTGTGGAGCAGGAGCTTCTGAATGGGATTGACTTTGACCGGGACCCATATTATGCACGATGGATGGTAATGCATAACTGTCTTCTGAGTACCAGAGAAAACATTTGTAGGTCGCTGAAAACGAAGCGTCTCTACCACTAAATGTAGTTCCACCATGATTCGTAAAGATGAACCGAAGCTTAGAGACGGGTCGATAGTCAACGGATAGCGTACAAAATAGATAAATAGCCGGGCGAGAAGGAGTTGCTGATAGAGATTAAGTTTGCGATACGAGTATGAGAAGGTACCTGAACTTATATTGGCAGTAAAGAAAACAGAAACAGCTTTAGCAACAAATCCGGCCTATGCTATATATAAACATATCACTTGCCGCCCGAGGAAGACAAAGAATACAAACACACGAGGACGAAACTCGTCGATAGGGAACACTGTGGTAGGATTTGCGATGGGAAGCTCGGGGTTTTACAACCACATGGCATGCTAATACAAGAAACTTGTGTTCGAGGGAAAGAGGGATGTCCTTGTCTCTATTATTTCATTTAATAGTATTCTATCTTTTTGATGGTCGAAACTGCAACTGCAATGTGTATCATTCAGTGTGATCTTTGATGTAATCATTAAATCAAGTTACAAGTTGTACCAATAAGTTTGTCTTGCTACTGGTTTTTCTTTCTCTGCTCAAGTTCTGAATCGCATTTGATACGTCTATCTCCAAGGTCTAAACTCACTCCGACCCACCATGCAGACACGATGAGACCCAAAAATAATACCGGCGGGAGACCGAAAACCACGGGATCGGTAGCATCGGCGTTGTCTGCATTGGTCTGCCCTAGAACCAAGAGAACCCAGCTGACAGCATGGACGCAAACAGAAGCACTTCCTGCACCCCAGCGGTTTGCCAAAACGTCAATGATCGGCTTGGCCTCATAACGTGCCTCGCTGCTCATGCCTCTCCACAAAGATTCTCGCACGGGTTTGGCAACAGCCAGATTGATAATCTTGGTGAACTCGTCTAGCATCAAAAAGAGAATCAAATTGGGAGGACGTCCACTCGTGGATCGATGCCACCAGCAAAGACATATCAAACTTCCAAGCCGAATAAAAGGCATCAAAGCAAGACTACCGCGTAATCCAATCCTATGCGTAATGGACGCCCCTGCTCCACTCGACTGTATCGCAAACATGGCAACGGAACTTCCCATGTTKACTCTAGCCAAAAATGCTGTATCTGCACTCACATCGACTGCTCTATCCTTCTTGCGATTAGCAACAAGTTCGGCTCGTTGGAAACTGAGCAGTGTTGTCGTACTAGAAAATAGTGCATTATAGGTAAAGATCGTCATCAACAGATAAGAGTCCAAAATAGTGGTGATGCCACGAAACAATCTTTGCCAAAAAGTATTGTCGTCGATCACATCGTTTGTTGTAGCAGCATGCTGTTGATCCGTATTAGCCATCGACGAAAGTGAGCCGCTTGATCGGTTCGTGGCAGAATGAATCGAATTTCCCGATGCTACTCGTTTCATCGCTTGCTGTTGTTGTTGCGCTTGTTGGGCAGCGAAAATACTATTTCCCGAAGCAACTCGTTTCATCGAACCAACAGAAGACGAACGCTTCATACTGGAATCCAAACTAGTCAAGTCTTGATTCGACCTATATCTTATCTGTTCTTCCCAATGTTGCTCCATTATCCGTCCTAATTCAATCGACAATTCTGCAGATATTTCCAAAAGGAAAGCAGATACGACCAACAATCCTGGCAGATGAAGGATCTTTGCTAGCGACGAGGCAAGAACACTACATCGAAAGGAAAAACACGAAGAAAGTATATTTACGTCAGCACTGAAAAGAACAAGATTTGCGATGTAGTAAAGTCCAACATACCTCCCCCAGATCCCTCCTATGGTTGCTCCGAACTGAATTCGATTTAGCCGTTCTAATTGGGTCTTATTGGGCTTGCTCGGATTTCCATGTTGCTTTCGCGCGATTTCTTCATATTCCATTGCTTCCGTTGTTACTCCCCATACGAGGGATGTAGAATGACGCGTCATCAACGTGACCAACAAAAAGAAGGCAACATACATAAATTGCCCAAGCTTGTCGAGCAAAAAGGGGATTATTGCGTCCTTGTTCGTTCCATCTTCGTTTATTCCGAAAATCCATTTGATGATAACGTAGTTTTTAATCCATTCCAACTTTCTCACCCAATCCACTAGTTGGAATCCCACAGCGTAACTGAGAGCACTTAGTGCAAAGAAGCGATAAAAGAGTGCTAGGCTAGTACCCTGGGTTTCTCCACGAGTCATTCCCATTTTCTTAAAAACCTTTCGTCGTTTCGGATCGGGAGCCTCGAACAACCAGCCGATGGGAACGCTGCTCAAGAATGACAATATGGTGCCGGCGAAAGTGAGAGACGCAAGGTTTTCGACACCGAGTTGCAAGACTATGGAATCCATTATTGGCTTTAAGATGTAATTTGCGCATGAAACGTTGAAAAGGGCCCAGAATCCAAGCCATGTCGCCACAGCATAATCGTCATTTGTATCATCAAAGATGTACCTTGATATCGCATAAGTGATTCTCGTGCAACCGTAGTGGGGAATGAAAAATGATTTTTTGGAAGAAGAAAAAGATTTCGCATGCGGAATCTTTGTTGGAGAAGACGATTTAGATGAGCATCCGTTGTAGTTGGTACTATTCAAAGAGTCATCACTGAGTGTTTTGTTTTCTCTCCGAAGAAGAAAACTTGCACCAATGGGGCTTGCGGCAACACCCTCACCAATGGGCCTGCTTATTCCAATAGGAGACACAGGCGGAGACATGTTTTCAGCACTTCCGACCCCATCATAAGCACCAAGTCCATCATTCTGACTATTGGTTCGGCTCTCCTGAATTTGATGAAGCATGTGATAGTTGTGACTGAGTTCGTTATTCTCCGAAATTGCTCCTACTGAGGACGATTTTTTCTGCACTTGTTGTTGCGGCACAGGCTCGGGTGATTTGTGGAAATCTTCGTGCAAAGCAGCAGTTGTAACAACACTTCTCGGAAGACACGAACTATGATCATTGTTATCCGAGATCTTGCAGTTGTAATTGTCATCAGCTATTGTTAGTCGCTTTGTACTTCCAATTACTCCGTCAATACCGTCTCTACTGGAACAATTTTGAGCCGCAACCTCTGTGAAATTAGGGGCAATGCCACCGCCACTTTTGTAGGATGCAGCGAAGAGTGGGTTTTCTGGTGTGGTATTGGGGTTTGTGCTCATGGAGCATGTAGACAACGACACCGTGTCTCCTCCTTTTGCATCATCTTCTTCCTCTTTGGAGAGGGAATCCGAAGCCATCAAACGCACTTCCTCCTGCTTATCCAACGTGTCTACCGACACCATAATTTCCCCAAAATGACTGGCGATATCTATCAAGCAAGAGGAATTATCTCGCAATCTGGTTATCGATCAACGGTGATTTGTTTCAAAAGATGCTGAAGAGCCTTGCCTCTCGATCTTTCTCTAGTCACTGGCGAATATGTACCAAGATGTTTGATCCAAATTCATTAATCGATGAGGATAAGGAGGTGAGGAAAGGGAAGTCTAGAGTATTTCCAAACTTTCTAGGTGAGTTCCTTCGATGGCAATATCCTAGCGATGGCAAAATCCTACTGATAGAACTGTATTGGATAAATGCATTCGGGAGCGGAACATGAAGTTTCGTCCTTGTCATAGAGGGAGTTGAAGAGCTCAAAAAACGAAGAACATCCCGAGGAACGTCGTTTGTTGGTGAAAAGACACATAAAATCGTACCGTACGTCGTACGGACAAGATTGATGTCGATGTCATCGTTTTGATACCAGTACGAGTAAGCGATTACCTCGTCATTGCGTGAAAACCTCCGATGGAATTGAATTCAATTGGTGAGGTTATTTTGTTCCTCATGACACGGTACAGGTTCGCCGTTTTTCGCACTTTGCACGGTTACGCGCATGAATCCGGATTACCGGTAGTTTTTGATTGATGGATGCTGATGACGAGTTTTTCATCACGAGCTTGACTCATACGAATACGCTACTACTGTAATAGGCTAACATGATTAATTCTTCTCTCCTTCGGTATTAATCCATTCTGAACGCAAGTGCAACTACTTGTGTTAGCCCAAAACTTGGATATTGTGAAATGCCTTCAGAAAGGAAAAGAAAATAGTTGAAAATAGTTTTCTTAATCGATGACGATCGTAAAAATGATATAAAAAAGTAAAGATGGTAACCCTTCGCGTCTTCGCGTGTGTCTACTGTATGTACGGTGAATGTGGAAACTGGTGCGAGACAGTTAGTAGCTTCTTAGGCATATTGGATTCGCATGGTGTTGGTGGATCCAACAATCTTGGTCTTTCCGTGGACAATGACAACGGCATCTCCCTCTTTGCAGATTCCAGCGCTCTTGAATCCGGCAATGCAAGAATTGACAGAGGCATCAGTTTCTTCGACGGAAGGAATGACGATGGCTTTGCATCCCTTCATGTATCCGAATGTTTGGCGGGCAACTTGTTCGCTGGTAGTGAGAACAGTGACGGGGCGTCCGGCACGGAACTTGGCGATTTGTTGAGCGGTGGCTCCAGATTCGGAGCAGACAATGATGGCCTTCGCATCAATGTCAATCGCGGTCTTTACGGCCGAAGAGGCGATAGATTCCGATGTGGAAAGCTTTCCGAACTTTTCGAGGGTGGAGTTGCGGATGGCGGCGTAAAGGGTGTTGTTGTTGATGGCGGCTTCGGCTTCGACGCAGGTGTCCGCCATGATGGAAACGGCGGCCTCGGGGTAGTCACCGTTGGCGGTCTCTCCGGAAAGCATGACGGCATCGGTTCCGTCAAGAACGGCGTTGGCAACATCGGAACATTCGGCACGGGTAGGACGAGGGTTTCCGATCATGGATTCGAGCATCTGCGTAGCGGTGACAACGGGCTTTCCGACAATGTTGGCCTTTCGGATCATCATCTTCTGGGCCAAGAAAACCTTCTCAGGAGGGATTTCCATACCAAGATCTCCACGGGCAACCATGATACCGTCGGTGACCTCAAGGATTTCGTCATAGTTTTCGAGACCTTCTTGGTTCTCGATTTTGCAGATGATCTTGATTCCTTGGTTCTCAGGCCCGAGGATTTCACGGATCTTGGTGACATCGGAAGCCTTGCGCACGAAGGAGGCGGCGATGTAATCGATTCCGTTAGGGATTCCCCACTCCTGGATATCGGAGATGTCCTTCTCGGTCAAGGTGGGGAGGTTAACGACAACTCCAGGCAAGTTCATGTTCTTGCGCTCACCGATGGAAGCGTTGTTCATGATTTCGCATGCAACTTCTCCCTTTTCGGCATCGCAAGACAAAACCTTCAAGACCAAAGAACCGTCGGCAACCAAGATGGATTGCCCAACATCGACGGAGGTGGCCAATTCAGAGTACGAGCATGCAAGCTTGGTGTTGTCTCCCTTGAAGGAGTAGTCAGAGGTGAGGACAAGAGTCTCTCCACGAACGAGCTCAATCTTCTTTCCTTCAGCAAAGAAACCGGTTCGGATTTCAGGGCCCTTGGTGTCGAGCAAGACACCTGGCGTGGCATGAACAAGACATCAAAGAATTTTAAAATTGAAGCGTGAGCGAATCCCACATTTAAATCAAAAGGAAAGAACAACATCAATCATGTTGCCTGTAGCTTGGATAGGCAAAAAAGTCCAGACGATTCACAAAAGAGATTCGCCACGAAAAAAACGCAGACGTCCGTTTTCATTCGTTCTACGACCAATAACCAATTCGACAGATCGTGGGAATTTTTCTTACCGACGGGCTTTCCGCACTTGGCGGCGGCTTCACGGAGACGATCCAGGCATGCCTTGTGTCCAGCGTGGTCACCGTGGGAGAAGTTGAATCGGGCTACGTTAAGACCGGCATTGATCAAGGTGACCAATTGATCGACTTCCCAGCAGGCAGGTCCGAGGGTGCAGAAGATCTTGGTGGCACGGTTGTCGACAGGCATGTCCTTGAGGATCATGTCAACATCAATGTTACCGCCGGGAAGTTCAGGACTGTACGATTGCATCTTGGTAGTCTTTTTATTGTCTATTGGTTAAAGAAAGATTTAAGAAGTTTGTCGTCGTTTGTCTTCGTCGAACAAGAAATTGTGACCATGTAGAATGGAACGCAATCCATCATTTTTCGTACCAATGCATTGCGTTCTCCGGAGGTTTTTTCAAAGGTCGAGAAGCTCTGACTTTCCTTCTGGACCCAAACCTTATCATCAGGTGGCGAAGAGGAAAAAGATATTTTCACCAATGAGAATCTTGGCTTTTTCCCGAATCACCAATAGGAATCGATCGGCTGCCATCAATCACAACTACCAAAAAACGCACTACCCTATCGATTTTATGTTGGTCACGAATGCAAAGTGCAGTCCTATCTATCAATGCGTGGAGCAAGTTACACCGCACGACTGTGAGGATGTTCTGTGTTGTCTCAATTTCAGCCATTGATTTTTCTTCCGAGATTCAATTGATTTCGGACACGCACGATTGAAAACACTTGCTTATGAAATTTCAAAAAAATTGTAACATCTCTCGTACGCTCCGTACAGTACAAGTACAGTAGTAAAAATACGAGGAAGTCGGAATGTGAAGCGCTTTCCTGCTTTGGTAGGACACTTGTTGGGAATTCGGCTGTGTAGCACAGCACTTCTACCAGTAGCATTTTAAACGAAACTCAAACACTTTCATGAACAAAAATTAGTGATTTTCCCGAAAACCCCGTGGCCTTAAATTCTAGGCCTTCCGGAAAATGAGCCGAACTCCCTTTTGAAAATCCATGATGTGGGGGCAATATTTCACGGGTTATTTTGTGGGTTATTTTTCTGATGAGATAACTCCTCATATTCTAAAAATGTGAGTTATTTTTTAATGTGAACTAAAGCACATTTTTGACAATAACCCACAAACAACTCATTCTTTCAAAATAGAATTCTAGTAGCTTCTTCTTCCTTCGTCCTCCTCTTCCTTGTTTTGAGGAATATCTTTTGTTTCAAAGAACAAAGTTGGGCAACAAAAATCATGGACTTAAAAAATTCTACTTGTTCCCCCTAGTACTATGCACGAGATTACGTGTACTCTTAGTAGGTGTTAAGTGTGTATGAAAAATTGAATTATAAGATTAAGATTATCGAGCGCGTTCACGAGAATTCTGAAGTTCTGATCAGAACCTCATGTAGACCTGGTAGGGAATCTACATGGAGGTTCTTCCCTTC